TCAACCGTTGCCTCCTTTTCTATCATTGTCATTTTAACAGAATGAGCATTTGTTTTTGACACCGTATTTGTCGGGCTATTTTTAGGAGCCAGAACACAGCGTCAACAGATCAGGCACGGTGAACAGCGTGGGGAGCAATCAGTCCATTCCCAGTATGTCCATCAGTGCCAGCTCCCAGAGCAGCTCCGTCAACAGCCTGACGGATGCCGGTGACGACAAAAGCGAGGTGGACATGGAGGGGGACCACACTGTCATGTCCAACAGCTCTGTCATACATGTCAAACCGGTAAAACACAATGTTATTGCTCTGTCAATTGTACTTATATTGTAACCACGTTGGTAGTTGTTTGTGAGTTGCAACGTGGAACTCATGTGATGCCTTTTTAACGGTACTTTGACATCCATTTTGTTGGATTATGTCTGGCTATTTGTTAAATAACGTTACAAACAAATACAACAGTGATGACCAGCCCACGTGTTGCGGGCAGTGTGTTTTCCATTGTGTTTAGAAAGATGTTTGAATACATTTCAATGTGATTAGAGCGTGGCGGAGAGTTATTTAAAAGCAAGGGAAGAAAATCTTAATGTGTGCAGTATTTTATTGATACGCTAAAGACATATATTTTTTTGTGTTTAGTCAGTGTTTTACTAATTTTAAATCGGTTGAAAGTGCATGGGAGGGGCATTTTAATTAAATAACCGACATAATGCTGATATTTTTCCAATGTCAAGTATGTGCTTTGATCAAGAAGATGCCTGGTAATAATTGTTTTTATGATAGCTGTCATCTATTTGGTGACGAATGATTGTCGTGCTTAACTTTCAGGAGAAAGGAGCGCACAACAAAGATTCCGAACCTCATGTGCGGTCAACTGAGCCTCAGTCCCAAACCCAACCCGCCAACGCCCCGCGGCCGAAACGGAACCGTGAACACTTTGCGACAATTCGCACAGCCTCAGTGGTAATAGCCTGTACTGTGTTGTTTTGAATCAGGGAAACTCTGCAGAGTTGTTTGAGCATTCTTTGATATCCTATATATCCGGATTATATCATGTACTGGTGTGTGCTTTGTCCTCACCCCAGTTCTGATGTCGGGTGCATTCGTATAACTGATTGCCTCACTAGTAATGTCGCCCACCCCACTAGTAGTGCTATATTTCGCACACTAGTACACGATTAAATATTGAAGTACTTCCTCTCCCGTACTCACCAGCTCACTCGGCAGATTAAGGAGCATGAGCAGGACTCTGAATTAAGGGAGCAGATCTTGGGGTACAAGCGCATGCGGCGGCAGCACCAGAAACAACTGATGGCCCTGGAGAACAAGCTGAAGGCAGAGATGGATGAGCACCGGCTTCGCCTGGATAAGGAGCTGGAGAACCAGAGGAACAGCTTTGCTCAGGAGATGGAAAAGCTGATCAAGAAGCACCAAGGCTCCATGGAGAAGGATGTAGGCCTTTTTTTTTTTTTTTAACCTTTTGCTGACCAAAAAAAGTCAGGTTTTTTCGTTGATTTTTTTTGTTTCTTTCCTGTCATGTGATGGTCCTCCTGTGCACTGTCTTTCAACAGACAAAAACCTTCAGCAACGACGAGAAGAAATTCCACCAACACATCCAGAGCCAGCAGAAGAAGGAACTCAACAGCTTCCTCGAATCACAAAAGCGGGAGTACAAACTGCGCAAGGAACAACTGAAAGAGGTCGTGAATCCTCACCTGCTTTCTGACAACAAGGGGGCCACGGTTTATGTTGGTCCTAACAGACCACTTGTCAAGGTTGCAAACGACACGGCGTGAATTAATTTTTGCAACGGTTTAAGAATACGTGGTCATGTACTTTGTGACGCTTAGTTACCACCATACATGTTTTTCATTTGATTGCTTTATATGTATGATCTAGAAGTGTTTTGAAAACAATTATTTACTCTTAATTATGACATTTCGTGGTTACGAAAAGGCGTTCAGTGAACTAGTTCATGAAACGCCTGTTAGAATTTGTCATCATGTTCAGGAGGCAGCCTAGAAGTATTTTTCATACAAATGTTTTCAGTGATGAGTTTACTACAGAGTCAGTGATATATTGCGGTGGGGTAAGTTGCCACCAGAGGATCGAAACTGAATCGTAAAGCAAGGGGCCCCCCTGTACCTTCAAAAGCACCTTCAAATCTGTCAACACCACGGACTGTAGGTGTGTTGTTCACCTTAATGTGTTTTGCCCCTGTAGGAGCTGAATGAAAACCAGTCAACACCCAAGAAGGAAAAGCAAGAGTGGTTATCCAAGCAGAAAGAGAACTTCCAGCACTTCCAAGCCGAAGAGGAGGCAAACCTGCAGCGCCGACAAAGGCAGTATCTGGAATTGGAGTCGCGCAGGTTCAAACGGAGGATCCTGATCGCTCGCCACAACATCGAGCAGGATTTAGTTCGCGAGGTTAGTAGCCGCCTGTATTACACTGATGCTTGATTGGTTAATTGACAAAACTGTAATGGCTTTGTGCCACGCCCTGTTGTCTCAGACAAACTCATTTTTTGTTCATTATTTACTTGAGTTTTATCCTTTTTAAAATGTTCTTTTTCTGTATTTTATACAATTCTAAAATACAAACGTGTTGAGACTATTCATGACACATTTTACCGCCTTAGGCTTCTGTTTTGCATTTGGTAAAATCCAGTGCAGTGTAATCCCTAAAAACTGTCAAAAAAAGCAATTTTTTTATACTAATTTTGAGTGGGGTGTTTTTATGTTCTGCCTTCTTTGATGGACTGTTACACTTTAATGATGAGCCTCGAGTTGACTGTCGGGCAATCCGAAGTTTACTGACACTGGTCCGATGTTCTTGCTCTTTTAATACCTAAAATTTCTCCCCCTAAATTGATTGAGCGTGCACATGTTTTTGTGCATCGGGTAAATCTTTCTATGTGGTTCTTAACCTTGTTAGAGGCACCGAACCCAACCAGTTCATATGCGCATTCACCAAACCCTTCATGAGTGAAAAACAAAAATATGACTTTTTCCAAATTAAAGACCTAAAAAAAAAAAAAAAACGCATTTATTAAAAACAGAAAAAAAGTAAATCAAATGTATACAAACCAGGAAAATTGCTGGTTTGTATGGCATTTGCCTTTGTACTGATTCTCTTCCCTGGCACCCTCAACCAGGAGCTGAACAAACGTCAGACCCAGAAGGACCTGGAGCACGCCATGCTCCTGCGGCACCACGAGTCCATGCAAGAGCTGGAGTTCCGCCAGCTCAACACCATCCAAAGGACGCGGGCGGAGCTCATCCGACTGCAGCACCAGACGGAGCTCACCAACCAGCAGGAGTACAACAAGAGGCGGGAGAGGGAGCTGAGACGCAAGCATGTTATGGAGGTTCGCCAACAACCCAAAAGCCTCAAGGTGAGAAGTGCCTTTCCTGTCCACTCGGGCTGAGCAATGAATCCAATTCAAGCCGTTTTCAGATCGTAAAGGCTACACTTCGTCATTTGATGGGATTACTGGAAATTGTTTGGGATAACATTTTGCTTGCACATCTGAAGCTGAAGAAATGGGTGGTAGGCTTGTGACATTTGGTCTCTCTGTGACTCCGTATAGTGTGCGTGCTTCATGAGGTTGTTGTTCCACGCGCTTCGACCTGAGGTTGTTGCAAATCTATTAGTTGACCACTAAATGGCACTATATTCCATACACACTACCTTTAACAAGCCCAAATCAGGGTAGATAAACTGTTTCATATTGTTATGGTTAATTTACATTTGTTTTAGGATAAACCGAATGTATGAAACCCTAACTTTTATGTAGAATCAATCAGATATTTTTATTGTAACACAGACCGATTTATTTATAGTTTTTGTTGAAGAAAAAATCCATGGGGGGGTCCTTGAAAAAATTGTATTGAATTGAATTGTAACTGCAATATCGAGGGGAAAAAAAATCTCAATTAGATTATTTCTCAATCTCAAAGTTGTTCAGGCCGTATGAGACGTCAGGAGCTGGAGTTTTGGTGGCCACTTAGTTCAGTATGAGCATGTGGGCTGAGTCGTGGCCTGTACCAACTGCTTGGAAATGATTTTATTTTGTATATGTGTGTTTGGCCGTTTGTCTTTTTCAAGAAACAACCGCAGCTCTCGTTGCCCACATGTGAAAGCCTTATAGTGCATTAATTGCTCCTTTTTTCCACTTCACTCAAGCAACAGGTTATCCAAAGCTTGTGCCCAAGATTAATTGTGTTTACTTTTGTGTTCTTTCGTCATATCGTGTGTTTTTATGTTTTTATTTTTACATAATTCCATGAAAAAACTCGATATAGGTGGAACATACAAATTCTCCATTCATTTAGAGAGGGGGGGAATGACTTTTTGGAACAAATGGAGTTCATGAACAGAAGTTTTGACTCAAATTCAAATTTGGCAGTCCAAAGAGCTACAGATCAAGAAGCAATTCCAGGACACCTGCAAGATCCAGACCCGACAGTACAAGGCGCTGAGGAATCACCTGCTGGACACCACACCAAAGTCGGAGCACAAGGCTGTACTCAAGCGCCTGAAGCAGGAGCAGCACCGCAAACTCGCCATCTTGGCCGAGCAGTACGACCACTCCATCAATGAGATGCTGTCCACTCAGGCGGTGAGTCCAACTATGCCTCAAGTATGCGAGGTATCAGATATGTATTTTTTACTTGTTATTACATCTCTAAAATTGGGGGGGAATTTGGCTTAAGACTTGAACTCTGCGGGGGGGGGGGTTCCTTTCAGGAATGGCATTACATTTGTGGTCTTCAATGATGACTCAATGATTTTGTGTCTCACTCTCCAGCTTCGTCTGGATGAGACTCAAGAGTCCCAGTGCCAGGGCCTTAAAATGCAGCTTCAGCAGGAGCTGGAGCTTCTGAATGCCTATCAGAGCAAGATCAAGATGCAGACAGATGCGCAGCATGAGCGCGAGAGGAAAGATCTGGAACAGAGGGTGTCGCTACGCAGAGCATTGCTGGAACAAAAGGTTCGCACTATCAGTTAATTGTTGGCCATGCAGTGAACCCTCGCTGTTTACGGAGATCAGGGACCAAGCTCTAATGCGAATATCAAATGTTTGCAGGTAATTGAATATGGTATTCATAGCATTTATGCAAGTTTGTTTTTGTTTTGTTGTTTTTTTTACATTCACACTTTAATGTAATTCTAACAAATTCAAAAATATATTATTTTGAGTAGTAGGAAGAGAAATGGAAAACACCAAAATATTGTACAGTGCAACAGTGTGCGTATCCCTGTATTTGCAGTAAACAAATTGTATTTATTTTCCCAAACTAACACTTCCATGATCTCAAAGTCAGAGGTGGTAAATCCAGGTCCAGAAGTAAAAACCTTGCCACAGTTTAGCTTTAGCCACAGGTTGCTTCTACTCATCTGGCAAGTAAACAAGCTCATTTACCTAATTGAGCAAACTAGCTGTCTCTTTGACTTAAATTGCCTCCAATTAACCTCCAAACTTTTTTTTCTCCTTCTCACTAAGCAGAGAAGGGAGGGGTGAGCAGTTATGCATGGAGGTGGAGGGACGGAGCAAGACTGAAGAGACTGCAAACACAGATGCTTGCTTTAACTTAGGGGCATTGTCCTTAAAAATGGGTATTGGCTTGCCCCAAAGGTCAATAATAGTAGCCCATGGGTCTGTTAAAAAAAAATAATAAAAATAAAAACGCTGACCGGTGATAGGCCATTGACTTAGTAAGAATATTTAAAATAAAATGATTATCTATTTAAGCTCACTGTGTGTTTTCGCTGGGCCAAATATTCAGTATTATGTAAAATAATATAGATAGATAAATCTAAATAAAATAGTGTGCGTTCAATGGGGAAAAACATATTTACCCAAATATTTCAGAAAAGGTTATTTTAGAGCTATGTTTTTAATAGAGTCATACCGTGATATTTTTGCTATCCGAATACAATAGTCCATGTCTATCTGGACTTAAAAAAAAAAACATCTATTTATGTAGCACTTTCACAACATTGAAATACCAGGACCGCAAACTCTGAGCCAGCAATAGAGAGGAGTTTGCTGTGTATTTTTCTTATTTCTGGCTACGCGAAGCTTGGAGAACAGCCACGTGTGGCTTTTTTTTTTTTTTCTTTAACACTTTTTGCCTTTCAGATCGAGGAGGAGATGATGTCCTTGCAAAACGATCGCTTGGAGCGAATCCGCAGTCTGTTGGAGCGTCAAGCGCGAGAGGTGGAGGCATTCGACTCGGAGAGCATGCGCCTGGGCTTCAGCAACATGGTGCTATCGAACGTCTCCCCAGAAGCCCTCGGCCACAGCTATCCCGGATCGCCGGCAAATTGGGGTGTCCATCTTCAGCAGCAGCAGCCGTCATCAGGGAGCTTTCACGGGTCACAGTGGAGCGGCGGCAGCTTGGGGGCGGGGTCGAGCCGTCAAGGCAGCCATCGCCACTATCACTCCAGTCCCAGCGGGCCGCCTACGCCGCAGAGCTGGGGTCAAGGCGTGCGGGGAGGCGGGGCTCCGCAGCCGTGGGGCCACCCCTCAGCGGTGTCCCGCGGCAGCACCGTCGCGCAGAACAGTCCCCAAGGCATCGGGAGGACACCGCCTGGAGGGCACGGCGATCAGGGCATGAGCAGGAGCACCAGCGTCACCTCGCAAATATCCAACGGGTCCCACCTGTCCTACACATAAATCCTCTTGTCAGCTGGCGCAGATGTCAAGTCCAACTAAACACAGCAACAAAGAAATTCCCCCCGCCCCCCTTCCATTTTTTTTCTACTGTGCATACCCACACGTGGATGTGTGGTTGAATCAATGTTGCTCAGGTCAAATGGGCTGCAAATAGCTGCAGCCGCCCCCCCCCCCGCCCCACCCCACCCCTCCCCCCACACACACACACACACACACAAAGGATACTGATCCTTTAGCTTTGTTACATTAGCACACTGATATAATTACATTGTCATTTATAGCCCTTGCTCCCGTTTTGCACATGAAAACGCTGTTGTAAGCCTTCCCATTCATAATGATATTCCCCTCTCCCATCTAGTGCAGATTGTGATTTGAAACGGTGTTGTGATGCCAGCCTGCTGCGATGGCCATGGGGATCCATTTAAACCACCACCAGCCAAAAGTCACAACCAAATAAGCATTTTCTTCCTCCAGTTCAAGGCCACAAGCTTGACAATGGTGCCTTTTCAGCTTGTTTGAATGAAAACACAAGTCTTAAATGTTAAATACTGCGCGAAACCTCCAATCGGTCAGTTTCATGCATAACATCGTACTTGCCCTCCCCACCCCCCCCCCCCTTTCAAAGAAGCCCTCCTGTTTGGTTTCTTTTTGGTGATATTAAAATTGATTGCCCATATGTCCAAATGTCAAGACCCTGGGTTTAAATGTTATTAGTGTGGGTACTTGCTTTAGCATTCTAAGGATCCCTCTTATTTCCACAAGTTCCAGATATATTCAGATGTGTACGCAGTGGTGATGTGCAGAGTAGTCTTAAACTGAGAAGTGGAGAGCAACATGTAAATATTGTTTGTTTTTTTTTTAATAGTAGACCTTCTAGAGCGGTGGTACTCTTTAGAAGTGACCTGTCTGTCCAGAGGTGACACTCTTGCCTTCAAAAACAATCCAAATCAGATGTCTTGATTTTTATCAGTGCCTTTTTTAGAGAGGGGGAACAAAAACTGCTGCCTTTTCCAAGCACTTTATGCTGAATGCAATTTTTTTTAAAGTAAATATTTGATTTCTTTTGACAAAAGCACCTAGTAGGCGATATTGGGACGAGGAGTCGCGGTGCAGTCCATGGCAAGCCTGGTGCGTGTGAGTTGAAACCCAATTTAACTGAATGTGTGGAGCCACTGGAGTTGTGGCTTTGTTAGTTCATCAAACTGATGGAAATGTTAAGGCTGGTCACATGCAGGTAAAAGCCATGACCATGACAGCAGGCTGGGAGCCACATCATGGGGTGAGGTGACAACATAAAGGAGCGACATGAAAAGAACATTTTGGGACTGACTGAATTGAGCACCTGCGTGTGTTTGTGAATGAACATGCAAGTTAGAATAGAAACAAATGTGGCATTGAGCACTTAGCCATTTATTTTACACTTGACAGGAGCGGCTTGCATTGCACGATAATAAAGCTTTAAAGACGGGCTGTCATAAAACTTTTTTTTTGCCGTGGGCCACATTGTAGTTGGTGTGCAAAAAATACAAATGTTGCCAATTTTGCACATTTTCCCCACTTAGAAAGAATGATGAGGTCTAGTTGTCTGTGCACTTCTTCTATGATGGGCAGAATCCAGAGGGAGCAAATGCAGAGAATCAAATTGGAGTTTTAAATATTGGGTGTGGGTTTTTTTTTCCTCCCCCCAATGAAGTATTTTATCATGTTAATTCCGGTCAGCATGTAAATGCAAAGTGACTACATTAGAAATGTGAGAAAGCCCCAAAAGTGCAAGAACTGCAAGGAGGAATTAGCCAAAATCCCAGATACGGTGTGTGCAAATCTATTCAGGAAATAATGTTACCTCTAATTGTAAAAATGCTTAATTTCATCCAATAAAATGACTTTTTTTTTTTAATCATGTGATTTTTCCATATTGCAATTTTTTTTAGATTGTCTTTGACAGTTGAAGTGTAGCTGCTGTGAAAATACCAGTCTTCTGCATTCTTTGTAAATTGTTGGTGCGTCATTTACTCATTTGACCCACTGTTTGGATTCCCTCGGAGAGCCGTTATGACTGAAAAGAAAAGCATACAAATTTACATGCAGTCCCTTGTATTACGACCTGCACTGCAATTATTTGAATTTGTATGCCACAATTTTTCATGACCTCGGATTTCCAATTTGTTTTAAAGGTTTTTGTTTTTTGTTTTTTTTAATGCTTACAGCATCTGCTCAATGTAACAAAAATTGTCCATTTCTGTATAAAACTTGGTGCCAAAATAAAATTGACCCCTAATTTGCATGAATTACGGCAGTGGGCCGGAACGCCCGGGCTTGAGTTTGACAACCTGTGCTTTAAAGCAGCAAGAAACCAGATTGCTTCAAGTGGAACCTCCAAAGTTGAACACAATCCAATTGACTTCTCTGTTGTAATTTCAAAAATTGCAAATTGTGTAACACAAATGAATGCGTTTTGTTGCCAATTTAAAGGCTTGAACCGTGCAGGAAACTTTTATACGACCACGTTAATGTTCGATCATACAAAGTTTCGAGAGAGGTGAACAATATAAATCCAACAATCTATTTTCTATTGCCCTCGACTTTGGAGGTTTCACTCTTTTTAGACTTTTTTTTTGTATGTATAATAGTAACAATTTAAAGCCGACAAAATTGGCTTTACAGTTGACATGTGAATAGAGCAAGTTCATCAATTTCTTGTGACCCCCCCCCCCCCCCACCACCACCAACACCACCACCACAACCATCGGAAAGAAGCAATCTTAACATTTGTCAGATGTATCGATAAAGAACAAAATGGGAACATTATTCCTTTCTCACGTCAGAAGCCAAGAGTTTGAATTTTTGCCCCGAAGACCCTCAGCCCCCACCCCCAATGCCAACATACACTTTTGTCAGTATCTATGTGTTTGATTGGATAGTTAATGGCCCATCTGTCCACCAACGTGGATTTGTTTTTATTTCTACTTTTTCTTTTTTGTTTAGTTGGGGGGGGGGTCCTACTGACTGACTGACTGACTGAACGCTGTTATGGATTCTGAACGAGGCGACAGAGAGAGAGAGAGGGCAGACGCCTTTTCTGTGGTCCAAACACTGTGCCATAGTTGCCAAGCCCGGATCTTGCCATGTTGTCTTCGGTGATCATGGTCACATCTAATGCAGAGGCCAGCGCGCACACGCACGCACGCGCACACACACGAAAATGCTTCGGTGACAAATATAGTACGTGAGAAGAGAGCATTTCTTTTGAAGATGTCAGTATTTTTATTTTTATTTTTTTGGCGCATTACCACTACAACTTGTAACCTGTATTAAATTGTATAGCTGGTCTTGAGAGTTTATGAAGATGCTACACGTAACGAGATGCTCAGACACTTCAATTGATTCAAATTGTATTAAAAAATGATTAAACAGAATATGAATAGAATAAAATCTACTATTTTGTTTGTATTATAATGTACCATTGTGTCGGCAGAGGGATTATTGAAAAATCAGATGTAATAAAGTAATTTTAGTATAAAAGGCCATTGTGTGTGGATATTTTTTCCCCGAACCGTGGATTATGACGCCACGAAATGACCACGAGTTCTGCTCTCTAATTGGTCCTTGGGACGGAAGCGGTCGCAGCTTGTCGGATGGCGTATATCGTAAACGTTATACTCTTCGAACCGACATTCGTGGGAGGAATGCCACCTACCTAAATACGTTGTCGTTTTGTTACGTTTGACAAAATGTACGCAAGAACTCGCCTGTGTACTAACATTAGCTGCAAAGCTGGAAGCGGCCTCGTAAAATGGGGGCAAAATAATGTCAACGAAAGTGTTGTCTTTGCGTTCGTCACGTGTGGGCGAAAATGTTCTCTTTATTAGTTTGTTCCTCAAACTGAGTGCAAATGTTCATTCGTGTAAAGTTCATAAGATTCCTGACTTGGTGGCGAGTTAGCATTAGCATGCTACAACTAGTTTAAAATTGGATGTTGACGAAAACATCGATGGCACTGAATAATGAATATACGTTTCATGGGTTATCATGAATTATTTTATTTGGAAACTTCGGTGGCAGAAAACCTATCACACGCACTTGACGGAAGTAAAGACGGATCTTTGTAGCGACGCCACTCGAATGAAGCGCGACTTAGCAGTCGATAGTCCGCCGCTCTCAGCTGTGCGTGTGTCAGCGCGAACATGTACGCACGCGCGCGTCTTTTGGCTTCAACCTCAACTGCTTGCCCTTCCCGTGCCCACTTCGACCACGACATCATCCACAGCTGTTCGTTCTTTGATGTCCCGTTCGCCCCGCACTCCGCCACTGAAATCGTGTCTGGCGTCTTCATCAAGCCAAACCACGCGCAGCGGCCGACTAGTCTGCTTCCCTGACCGCTTCACCTCCTGTCTGCTATTCTGTCCGTTCCGTCATTACAAATGCTTCCTTCCTTCGTCGCCTACGCCGACTTCGGATCCAGGAGGGGGACCCCGTAGCGACGCCACTCGAGTGAAGCGCGACTCAGCAGTCGATAGTCCGCTGCCCTCTGTTGTGCGTGCGTCAGCGCGAACATGTACGCACGCGCGCGTCTTTTGGCTTCAACCAATCAGTGCTGACGCAACGGACGTTACACATCAAATAGCTTTGTACTACAACAGCTAAGCTAGGCTAGCCAGGACAACAGCTAAGTTAGTATAGATGACACGACACTCGAGGTCTGACGGATACGCTCTCCATTAATCTGTATGTTTCTCTTCCTTTCTTTCCTTTTTCTGTCCAAATATATATTTTTCTACTACAATAGTAGTCTCGTCCACGACGTCTTTTTTTTCGCCCCACCGGGGTTTAGCCAGTGTGATTATAAAGAGATCAAAATCTCTTTCGGTTTGCTAAAATAGCAATCATGTTCATCCATTTTCTGTTTATACTCTCGATGGTCGCGGGCATGCTGAAGCCTATCCCAGGTGTCTTCGGGCAGTAGGCAGGGTACACTCGAACTGGTTACCAGCCAATAGCAGGGTACACATAGTCAGACAATTATTCACACTCACAATCACACTTAGGGACAATTTCGAGTGTTCCATTAACTTCTCATGCATGTTTTTTAGAATGTGGGAGGAAACAGGACTACCCGGGAAAACATGCCAACTCCACACATGAAGGAGGGGCTTGGAATCGACCCTTGCACCCCTGCACTGTGAGGCGGATGTGCTCACCAGTCGCTCACCGTGCCAGCCCTAGGAGTAACGTGAAATGTCTAAATTTGTCTCGTTAGTGTCATAAAATTTTAGGTAGGGTCTAAAACCTAAGCTCAACAGGTCAGAAATCCAGGGAAATACCTCGTCTAAAAATTACTGGTAACTCTTCAAATTCGTAATTTATGTCACTGTAGAAATAAAACACCTTGTCCGATGAGAGACAGTCATTGCGAAATTTAATTCTTGATTGTTTTTTCTTCTAAATTGCAGGATGTTGTGCGAATTACTTTTCACGTCATTGTGGTTCCTGTTTGTCATCTTCTGGGTGGAGACCAGTGTGTGGTTCTTCCTCTCAATGTTCTACCAAGACAGAGTTCTCTACCACTGGGGAGATGGGTAAGACATCAAATTCCCAGAATAACAGTATCAAAAGTTGAAGACTCATGATGTGGCCCATAAGGCATACCGTGGATATAAGAAGTCTACACCCCCCTGTTCAGATGCCAGGATAACACTGAGAGATATCATTTTTAAACCTTTCATCAGTATTAATGTGACTTATAACATATGCAACTGAATTGTTTTCGGTTTAAAAACAATCTATTTGAGAGGGCAAGTAACAATAAACAACTAAGGTATTGTGGTGGCAAAAACATGCCCACAGTTGGTTTGGGAGGCTGCTAGGAGACCATCAACAACATTGAAGGAGCTGCAGAAGTTTCAGGTGAGTAAATACATTTAATATAAGTGACGATTATTGTCCATTCTTCATTATATGAGTAGGTTATGTAGGGTACAAGATGTAAGCCATATCTTACAAGGTGAAAAAAAAACTTGGAAGCTCTCAAAAACCTTAGAAAAATGTTCTAAAGAAACCAAGGTTGAACTAAATGGCCCGCAATTCCAAAAGAATAGGCTTAGCGCAAACACAACACAACACAACTCAACACTGATGGAACATCATACTTATGTTCAAGCATAGTAGTGGCATGACAAATAAAGCCTCGTTTGATTAGGATTTGGTTCTCGGCAGTGTTCTTGGCGAAAAAAGATTTTAAATGATTGATCTTGATCTCCTGTTTTTATGTCACAAAAATCTAACATTTGAACAATGGTGTGTAGACATTTTATATCTGCTGTAAATGTGGACTGTGCGTGTTTTAATGTACCTCTTAATGTCAAATTGAACTGAGCCTTTTTTTTTTTATTTAAGTAACAGTGCATTTTCAGATGATTCTGGCCAGCTGATATACATGCTGAGCAGGTATGTTTTTTTGTTTTTATAAGGATAAAGAAATACAATAGACATGACGCCAAGAGGTCATTGTGAGAACCCTTCGTTGGCTTCTCTTTTCGATGTTGACATATCATGTTGACATATCCTGAAGCCTACTACTGTCAATAGGCTACTCCCCCCTCTTATTATTATTATTATTATTATTATTATTATTATTATTATTATTATTATTATTATCATTATTTAGCTGTTATGTTTTGATTCACTGTGATTTCTTTCTTGCATTTATGTTCTTTTTTCTTGCATTATGTGTTTTGTTTGCATCATTCTTGTGTTTGGAGCATTTGGCTTTTTGCAACATCTTCATCTTGCAGTGTTTTAGTTTCACAGTTATTCTGTGTGGTTTTTAGTTTAGCATGTGTGTTTGTGTTTGACTTTCATTTGCAGCATTCGGCTGTTTTCAGCATGTTTGCCCCTGTCGGTCACCATGGGAAACTCACTGAAAATGACGCACAATCTATGGAGCAATGTTTAAACAAAGTAATGATGTTGCTGCTCTGCTTTGCTCTTCTCTGCATCGTCAATCTCTTTTGACCCCGCCCCAATTTTTATTTTTTTAATTTAATTTTTTTTTTGCCTTAAACATATCGGGATGCTAGCCAGCTCTGCCAAAATCAGCTATATACTTAGGATTGTTTGATTCTATCCCAGAAATGAAATTATTAATATTTCATCATAAGTATTTGTAAATTTTTTTGTGTGTGTTTTGAGAAAGACTGACAAAAAAATACCTGTTTGATTTTGATCTCACCACGCCTTATCTCTCTTCACAGAGTTGATTCCCACTTGCTGAGAGAGATGTAGACTTCAGACATGGTGAAACGTCGCAAGAATCTGAAGAAAAGTGGGTCGAAGATCGGCCAGGTTAACCGGCAGCTGAGGAGAAGTTATGATGTAAACTTCAAGATGATGGTGATAAATGAGGCAGAGTCTTCAAACAATTGCAAAGCGGCTGTGAAATATGGTGTCACAGAGTGTAATGTACGGAGATGGAGAGCTCAAAAAGATGACTTTAAAAATGCTCACGGTCAGAGAAAAGCTTTCCGTGGTCCTCGGAGCGGCCGCTTCCAAGAGCTTGACAGGAGGGTGTGCGCGTACGTGGACGAGAAACGAAAGAACGGGATGCCCATCAGCAGAGCTTTCATTCGGCTCACGGCCGTGGAAATAGCCAAAGAGCTAAACATACCCACCGCTGACTTCAAAGCAAGCCTCGGCTGGTGTAGAAGAATGATGCGGCGTAACGGACTAACGCTGCGACGCAGAACAAGTCCAGCCCAGCGCCTGCCCTCTGACTTTGAAGAGAAGCTGTTGTCTTTTCAGGGCTATGTAATCAACTTAACGGAAAGGCACTCTTACCCACTGGATCAGATTGGCTATGCTGATCAGACACCTGTGTTTTTTGACATGCCAACACTTGTCACTGTACACAAGAAAGGTGAGAAATCAGTTCCCGGTATTATAAAATCCACTGGAAATGAGAAGAGCTGCGTTACCGTCATGTTATCCTGCCTCGCAGACGGAACCAAACTCCCTCCGTATGTGGTTTTAAAACGTAAGACAGTACCTAAGGAGGCGATGCCAGCTGGCATTATTATACGTGCACAGGAAAAGGGCTGGATGGAGACCAAGCTTGTAGTGGACTGGCTCAAGGTTGTGTGGGGCAGACGGCATGGGGGACTCAGAAAACAGAGGAACATGCTGATTTTGGATGCATTTAGTGGACTCTTGTCTGATCCAGTCAAAAAACAAGTGAAGGCGATGAACGGCGACTTAGTGATCATTCCGGGGGGAATGACAAGTCAGCTGCAGGTGTTGGATGTTGTGGTCAACAAACCATTCAAAGACAATCTGCGAAAGAAATACACAGAGTGGCTCCTGTCTGGTGATCACGCACTCACACCGACAGGAAAAATTCAGAAGCCTTCGGTACGTTTGCTCTGTGAGTGGATCCTCCACGCATGGGATGCAGTGTCCCCAAAGAGCATCATCCACGGGTTTAAAAAATGTTGTATATCAAATGCCCTGGACGGCAGTGAGGATGACGTGCTATGGGAGGAGCCAGAGGATGGGAGTGAGGACAGTGACACTGAGCACAGCGAGGCAGAGGATGTTTGTGAGGAGGAATGTTCTGTCCTGACAGATCTCAGCTACTCTCAGGTTTAACCAGTTTGCATTATTTTATTGCAATGTTTTTTCCTTATTCAGATTTGTTTCAAGACTACAGTTACAGTTAGACTTCACTTTGATGGTTAATGGTTAATAAATCTATATTTATATTGCACTTATATTGAACGGTGTACAGCTCTCTTTATCCCAATTTATTTTTGTGCTTGCAAACACTTTGTTTATCTTTTTCTACGCCCCAAATTTGCTGCTGTAGACTAAATTTCCCCAGTGTGGGACAAATAAAGGATATCTTAATGCAGTTATTGCAATTTTGTTGTTTTATCACAATAGATTGGTTTATTTACATTTCAAAAACCAGAAGCCATTCATTTATGAATGTGATTGAACTTTCGTTTACATATTTAAATGTTCAGATATAAAGATTTGAATGACGCAAAATAACATGCTTTTTCTCTCAAATATATTGTTATACACGCACTCACACCGACAGGAAAAATTCAGAAGCCTTCGGTACGTTTGCTCTGTGAGTGGATCCTCCACGCATGGGATGCAGTGTCCCCAAAGAGCATCATCCACGGGTTTAAAAAATGTTGTATATCAAATGCCCTGGACGGCAGTGAGGATGACGTGCTATGGGAGGAGCCAGAGGATGGGAGTGAGGACAGTGACACTGAGCACAGCGAGGCAGAGGATGTTTGTGAGGAGGAATGTTCTGTCCTGACAGATCTCAGCTACTCTCAGGTTTAACCAGTTTGCATTATTTTATTGCAATGTTTTTTCCTTATTCAGATTTGTTTCAAGACTACAGTTACAGTTAGACTTCACTTTGATGGTTAATGGTTAATAAATCTATATTTATATTGCACTTATATTGAACGGTGTACAGCTCTCTTTATCCCAATTTATTTTTGTGCTTGCAAACACTTTGTTTATCTTTTTCTACGCCCCAAATTTGCTGCTGTAGACTAAATTTCCCCAGTGTGGGACAAATAAAGGATATCTTAATGCAGTTATTGCAATTTTGTTGTTTTATCACAATAGATTGGTTTATTTACATTTCAAAAACCAGAAGCCATTCATTTATGAATGTGATTGAACTTTCGTTTACATATTTAAATGTTCAGATATAAAGATTTGAATGACGCAAAATAACATGCTTTTTCTCTCAAATATATTGTTATAATCATTTGTTTCAGATGTACTGTAATTATTTTCTTCGCTTAACAAAACAGTTAACATAAAATAGTAAACACAACACATAACAAAAACACAGACAGTCTTGCAATCTTAGCCAACTTTTCCCTCATACGCTTTGTTTGAATCAGTTCTACTATGGTAGTATTTATCATGTAACTATAATTAATTCACCAATAAGGCGTCAAATGAGTACAAGAACGTTAGATGTAATGTATTTTTTTATTTATATGTATTAATTATTTAATAACATTCATAATGACCGAAACTAAATTTCATTTTAACCTCCGAGTAAACCCAAGCCTTGTGTTGCACGTTCACGGGCAGCAGGGGGCGCTCAAAAAACAGCGACTATATTTTAAGAGCGGCTCCGTCAACTCTTTCCGGTACTAAACAGTTCTCTCAGCAAATGGACGATATGTTTCGATAGTTTCGTGTTGCTTTGCCTTTATTAAGAGGTTATCTACTCGTATTTATTCGACGTGACTATTATTGGAGGTGGACGTGAGGGGACCGTTTTGTGCTACAATGGCCCCAACGATTCAGACGCAAGCACAGCGCGAGGACGGCCACAGGTAAACACGCTAACTGCTCGCTATGCAGCTAGCTTACCAATCATCAGTCTGTCCTATTAACGACAATGGCGTGTTTTTTTCTTCGCAAAGGCTCATTGTCCTTGCCTAACTAGAGTTTCGTTGAATGACTACCAAGCGTAGTGTAAAATTTCCCATGTATTTTTTTTTTTAATGTTCAGACATTTTAGCCATAAAAAAACAAGTACAACTTATAGCTCTCCAGCAGTACCATTAAAATACACGAACAGGAATATCAAAATTGATGCATAGATTTTATTATTTTAAAAGTAAGTTTATTCTCATTGTTAGCCTCTGTAAAATACAGGAAATTCGGGGAGGGGTTGTAACTAGTGTACGTTGTTAAATAAACTTGTACTTCAACAAATGTTTCAAAGCAAACAGTACTTAAAGATTGAATGGAAATGTACAAGCGCTACTGCTATTTTAAATACAACTGAGCTGTACTTAAATCAATTGTGCTTGGAAGTTAAAGAATATACAGTGCATGAAAAGTAAAAAAAAAATAATAATAATTACATGAATTACCACTACTGGTACTCCTACCACATTTTGAGAATGCAACTTGCAAGGCGCCATCGTCCAGCACTAACCATTGCGGACTTACTATGTTAAAAAAAGAAAGTTAAGCAAATTTGTTTAAAAAAAAACAAACAGGTAATTCAGCACGCTTTTTAAAAACCAATCCTACTTGTAGTTCTTTCACTCTGTCCAGATTGTCAACTGATTCACACCATTCACTTGGATTAACTCATTCAGTACCAGCCAATTCTAGACCAATGAATTAATATTCTCAAAATTCAAGACGTGCGTGTCATATTTTTTAAGTTCTCCAGCAAAATGTCTCAAACGTTTTCCGCTCAATCTATTGTGTATTGGCTTAGATCAAGCTCTAATAAAATTCCTGATCCATTTATGAAGAAATAGGTGTTCAAATACTTGAACTTGCGTTGCTCTTATATCCAACAATAAAATAATAAATACAAAGAAATTAATTCATTGTGCACCATTGTCAAAATGTTGTATGAAAGTTGACACTCATGATTAGTCACTGTTCAAGTATCTTGTCTCATTAAGAATTTGTCACTTTTATCCCCCTTTTAGTCGGCCATCATCACACAGAACTGTCCCAGAGAGGTAAATCGTGTTGATGCATGTCATATTGAACTGGAATGAAGGTGAAAATAACTTTTCAATAACAACCGTTTTGTGTTCATGACAGGTCGGGTGTGGTCTGTCGGGTGAAATACTGCAACAGCCTGCCGGACATCCCGTTTGACCCCAAATTCATCACTTACCCATTTGATCAACACAGGTACCATAAATACCACTTTCTACTATTACCACTAGGAGCAGAAACACAATGAGTCGTTTTCTTGTTGCCCCAGGTTTGTACAGTACAAAGCTACTTCACTGGAGAAGCAGCACAAACACGAGCTCCTCACCGAGCCGGACCTCGGCGTCACTATCGATCTCATCAACCCAGACACGTACCGCATAGACCCCAACAGTAAGTCTGGCTGTTTAGTCATGGCCTTCATTACGCAGTTCAAAGTTAAATTCAAATGAACTGTGCCTTGTGATGCTTTTTCAAATCAATAGTGACAGCACCCTTTTTTTCCCCAAACGTTTTCTAGGAGTTGAGGTCATAGTATTATTCTTCATTTTATTTAATAATTTTTTTGCAGTCCTCTTGGATCCAGCTGACGAAAAACTGTTAGAAGAGGACATCCAGGCTCCGTCCAGCTCCAAAAGGTAAAGCCCAAAGCTAAACTCGCCCAGATTGCCTTTGGCGATGTTTTCACCTTTTTTTTTTTTTTGTCCTCCACCGTGTAAGATCCCAGCAGCATGCCAAGGTGGTGCCGTGGATGAGAAAGACGGAATATATTTCCACTGAGTTCAACAGATACGGTGTCTCCAACGAGAAAGTGGAAGTCAAGTGAGTTGATGATCCAGTGGGAATGCATCTGCGATGGGGAGAGAGAGAACAAGAGCTTGCCAACATGACCGTGTGTTTTTGCTTAGGATCGGCGTGTCTGTCAAACAACAGTTCACAGAAGAGGAAATCTACAAGGACAGAGACAGCCAAATCTCTGCCATCGAAAAGACCTTTGAGGATGCCCAGAAACCGGTGAGAGCACAGTCACTGCAAACTACAACCACAACCATCAACGTATTGAGTTGAGCAGTGTAATGCAAAACTCCCCCCTCCACTTTGGGTTCCGCCTTTGCGGTCCTGCTATTTTGCTGTTTGTTTTAAATTGGTGTGTGTGTGTGTGTGTGTGTGTGTGGAGAAGGAAAGAGAGAGGGAGAGGGGGAGAGAGAGCACCTATCTTAAAATGTTATTTGTGTTCAGATTGCGCAGCACTACAGCAAACCCCGAGTTACTCCGGTGGAGGTTTTGCCCGCCTTCCCAGATTTCAAGGTGAGCCACTAATTTTTCATCTGCTCAAGTATATCACTTGAGCACATGAAACTGATTAAACCAATGTTCAACCGATTTCCAATATTTTCCCTGTGCCTCGCCAGATGTGGATCAACCCGTGCGCTCAGGTCATCTTCGATTCGGATCCTGCTCCGAAAGACATGTCGGGCCCGGCAGGTGTGGAAATGATGTCCCAAGCCATGATCAGGTAAGGGTCAAATGAGATCCGCCGTGTCAAAATATTGGCTTTTGACACTTGAGTGACGAACATCTTCCACGCGCGCAGAGGCATGATGGACGAGGAAGGAAACCAGTTTGTGGCCTACTTCCTGCCCAACGAGGACACGCTTCGCAAGCGTAAACGGGACTGCGACGAGGGGCTGGATTACATGCCGGACGACCTGTAAGGAAAGAACAAGATGAGATGTCGCTTCATCGTGTGCGCTTGAGTGACCCAGCAAGTTCTTTGCCTTTTTCAGCTACGACTACAAGATTGCCAGGGAGTACAACTGGAACGTGAAGAACAAAGCCAGCAAAGGCTACGAGGAGAACTACTTCTTCATCTTCAGAGATGGAGACGGGGTTTACTACAATGAGCTGGAAACAAGGTACGCACTCCTTCAAAAAGATACAAAAGATCGAGGAAAAACCCCGGAACACAAAAGGATGGTTATTCCTTGAGACACTTGAAATTTTTGAGGCGTGTTTTTCGCCTAATTTTGGGTTGAACTGTAAATCCTCTGTAAAACGTTTGCCTAGGGGAAAGCATTTCATTTAATTTTTTGAAATGTCTTCGTTTCAATATAGTTTCAATATATCAATTTGATTACTCTTCAAATGTTTTTAATTTAACAAACAATAAATATTTGAAATCAATTCCAACCACAGGGAAGGCTGTGTAAATAAAGTGGCAAAAGCACATTACAAATTCATGACATTCACATTTCTGTGAGTGTCTCACAAAATGGAGTTCATTGCGGTCTGTGGTGGGGGTTTTTTTTTCCATTTGGGTTTTTTTTTTCTTCAAACTTCCAGGCATCTGCCTTCAAGCTTGTTCTCGTTGATTCCAGTGCTTCCGCCATGTTGTTTTGATACATTACTTGACGTGAGAAGTCACATCAATTTATGTGGGAAAAAAGACATCTTAAAAGAATCGATTTATGGTTTTATGAATCGATATCGGGCTGTGAAAAGGAAACTCGATTTGATTCGATTACCGGTACTTTTTTTTTCAACCCAGACCTGATTATGATTTGAAATGATTAATTTTCAAAATTTAAAATGTTATCTTTGATTTCTTTCTGTTTTATTTAGTTTTCCGGTTGGATCTGAACTCCTTTTCCGAATATTTGATTGAATGTATTACTCTTCCTGCAAACATATATACGTATATCTTGTTGTGGCAATTGAATATATCTGGTGATGTCGGGGCGCAGGGTGCGCCTGAGCAAGAGGCGAGCCAAGGCGGGCGCCCAGTCCACCACCAACGCCGTGCTGGTTTGTAAGCACCGAGATATGAACGAGAAGGAGCTGGAGGCCCAGGTCAGTCTCCATCTGCAACCATTTGCCACCCACTTCCTCTTTTTATCTTTTATTTTAAATTTTTTTTTCCCCTAATGACTCTTTGGCCGTTTGATTGGCAGGAAGCCCGAAAAGCTCAGCTGGAGAACCATGAGCCTGAGGATGAAGAGGAAGACCTGGACCTGGACCTGGACATGGACAAAGACTCCGGTCAGTCATCGTATTTTCTCTTGACACAGCGGTGCCTTCACATATGGTTGACCAAACTGCTGTTTTATTACTTTTTTTTTAGTTGAAATCCCCAAATTAGAAAGATTTTCCTTCACTTGTACTGTATTGCATTTTGTTCAGATCCCCAAAATATCATTATTTGGCGTGGTTTATTTACATTTTTTTAAATCCCCCCAAATATATTCAAATTAGATGTATTTTATTGATTTTGTTATAGTGACCCAAAATATAATTATGTGGTATGATTTAATTTTACTTTATTCATTCACATTTAAATCTCCAAAATCAAATGTATTTTGGTTTTTATTCTTCATGATTCATAGTTTTTACGAGACTGTTTGGGTTTATATTTGGTTACGTTACAATAGCCAAACTATGATTAGCATTATATGTTTCATTTTATTTTATTTTGAGCAAAAAACCCCCAAAGTATGATCAACATTTTATTGTATTTGGCTTTTATCTTGATCGTACTTGATCGTTAAAATTAGGGCCTGACTGATAAATGGGCTTATACCGGTCTTGTAATGGCACAAAAAAATATCATCTGATTTGTCTTTTTTTCACCTTTTTCGGGGGAGAGTTACATATTAATGCATTACAACACAAGACACAGGTAATGAATGACATGTCTTCAGGATTGTAAGATTATGGAACCAAAAAAAAGAATTTTATTCATGATTTGTATTTATATTGGATTATGCAAACATGAATGTGTGCGATCATAAATGCTCGGGATGTCACGAACAGATCTTTTGAGAATTGATTGAATAATCCAGAGGTTAGTCAGGTAATCACGCACCCACAACTCCCACCCAATTCGTGGCAGAAATGTTTTTGTGGTCAAGTAATTTGAATAATTTCCCCTGTGGCAGTACACACAGAAATGTGCACACACACAGGGGAAAAGCTATTGTCCATTTACACCAATGTTATGTGTGTGGTTTTTTTTTTTGCCTCTTTTTCCTCCAGGCGATGACAAAGAGAGAGGCAGTGGCAGCGAGGCCGAGAACTCCGTCAGCGATTCTGACAGGGACGACGAAGAGACCGAGAAACGGGCGCGAGAGGTCGACGACGACGATGACGAAGAGCGAGACAGAGCCAAGATCAGCGGCAAGAACAAGAGGAGGCGGTCAAGCGACAGCGAAAGCGGCGAAGACCGCGCCCGCGAGATGCGAGACGAGGAGGAGATCTTCGGAAGTGACGACGACGACAGCGACAACGAGCCCAAAAGGAGCAGCGGCGAGGAGGGCAGCGACGATGACGACGAGGGAGGAAGAGGAGCTAGCAGGAGTCGCAGCGCCTCCCCGGCTCACAGCGAGCGCAGCAGCGACCACTCAGAGGCTCAGGCGCAGAGCGGCAGCGCCAGCGAGAGGGTGTCTGAATCCAGTGACGCCAGTGACTCTGAATGATTGCACTGTCGTCATCATGATACAGAAGCCTGCGAGTACTTTTGAACTGGAGTCATCTCGATTTTTCATCATCTGTAGCTGTCATTCTTGTTGATTTTGTTTTTGAAGCAGCCATTACACAAAACAATGAAAAACTGTACCCTTCATTTTTTTGGTAACTTTATGTAATGGCTTTAAAAACATTCGAATTTGTTTTTAAATTTATGTTTTACAATAAAAATATAAAATTTATTGTGCATAAACATTTTGCTCCTATAGGTAGTCATATGCTAAAACAAAGGCAAAGAAGACGTGAATGAACATCAAAGACAGTTTATCTTCTTCAATTAGAGTTAACTTAAAAAACGCTTGGACTTGCAGTCTTAAGCATTCACTATGACAACCAAACAAACCTTTTGCAAACAACTGTGATGTAAAGCATCGACCCATACTGTATTCTGAAACCGCTTAATCCTCACAAGGGTCGCCGGCGTGCCTGAGCCAATGCTAGCTATCTTCGGGCGCCAGGCAGGGGACACACCCTGAACCGGATGCCAGCCAATCACAGGGCACACATAGACAAACAACCATCTGGCACTCATGATCACACCTAGGCGGTGTTCCCTCTAAACTGCTCAACTGCGCACCGGTCGCACACTCTCAGCGCACAACAAAACCTACCTAGCACAGTGAACAAATTGCAAATGAGATAAAGATATAACTTTTTTTCCTTTCTTGTTGCCCTGGTGACAGTTTTGTACAGAACAAAGCTACGTCACTGGAGAAGCAGCACAAACACGAGCTCCTCGACATGTAAATGTGCTAGTGTGTGTCCGTGAATAATCCCGATACAAACCAAAAGTTGGAAAAATAAATAAATATAAAACACATAAAGGTAAAAGCATTTGTTTACATGCAGACTTTTTCCTTTTTTTCTGATTGAAATAAAAAAATTATCTATATATTAATACATAAGATATAAGATAAGTTTTTTACTTCTTCCTACTCCTTTGAACATATATTCATGCTGTATGATGACTGTTTTTCTTTTTTACACTTTCACTTACCTTCACTTTCTGTCAATTTATCACTGTATATTTTTATATGTTCAAGTAACAATAAACAAACAAACGAATACTATCGAAAGCAAACCGCAAAATAGCAGGACCATCCATCCACCCATTTTCCGATCCGCTTCATCCTCACAAGGGTCGCTGGAGTGCTGGAGCCTGTCCCAGATGTCTTCGGACAGTAGGCGGGGGACACCCTGAACCGGTTGCCAGCCAATCGCATGGCACACAGAGACAAACAACCATTCACACTCACACCTAGATTTCAAGTGTTCAATCAGCCTACCATGTATGTTTTTGGAATGTGGGAGGAAACAGTGTGTGTGTGTGTGTGTGTGTGTGTGTGTGTGTGTGTGTGTATATATATAGAGAGAGAGAGAGATATGAAAAGATAAATCGAACATTTGTCATGCTTGCGTCAAAATCTGCATGTGGTTACAGATCAAGAATTTACAATGTTGGAAATGTGTTATGTAATTTCATTACACACTGAGAAAAATATTTTATCCATTAAATATTAATTTACAACGAACAAAACAACCCCCCAAAATTTACCAATACAATCAAAATTATTTTTATCGTGTAAAGGGTAGCAATTGGCCTTCTGAGAATTACTTTCCTGTAATCTGAGTTTCACTGTTTGAAATGAACTCCAGTATGGATTTTTCCCCATACAGTACAAGATTCTAATTTCTTGACACGCGCCTGCATCAAATCAATCTGACCTTCATAATCATGAACTGATATGATATCAAACTGTAATTTGTCATGGTGGGATCTTTTTTTTGAATGTCCTTGGTTTGTTTTTGCGATACTTAAAATTGAAGTTCTGTAAAAGATGGCAAAATGGAACACGTTAGGTAATATAGGTCCATCCATTTATTAGCAAGTGACATGCCATCAAAAAAGAAAATGGACAGAAATTGTCACCATGTTAATGGGTTTTCAAACTCAGCGAGCCAACTGGTTTTTCACCCACTGCTCGGTCAAGTCGTTCTTGTTCAAGATTTCGAGAGACTGAGTGAAACACAAAATGGAAAAAACATAATTTTTCGGCTCCCCATACCTACACAAGTCATTGTGAGAAATGAGAAATCATCGTTACCGTGCTGGTCAGCATTGCGTCCTTCACCAAACCCACGCTGAATGCGTACGCCATCAGGGTCCTGATGGAGCACCCTTTGGATTCAATGCACAATAAGTATTTTTTGGGGACATTCGACATCCAGTGTTCATTTGACATCATGAGTACAAGTGTGCACACCCTCAAATCTGGGGATGTGGCTTTGTTTGGAATTAATCCGTCAGGTTCAAACTCGTTAAAGGGGAGTCAGCGCACACCTGCAACCATTTCAGGTGCCTCTGATTAACACCAAATAAACTTCAGCTGTTCAACTGTTAAACCCCCACTTGAAATGATTTCTTCTTTTTGAATTGAGTTGCAGAGGGAAAAAAGGTTTTCAGATGCTTTATCGTGGTCTTCTTTTTTTTTAAATCACAAAAACCTCACATTTGAACAGGCGTGTGTTGACTTTATATCCACCACACCTCGAGTGCTTTAATATCAATGTCAGTGGGGACCATGTGTCAGCGCATTTGACTCCATGACTGCCTTCCACTGAACTCCTTGCTTGTCATACAGAAAAATCTGTTAAAATTGGATGTAAAAAATATGGAAAAATTCAGCTTATGTTGTCTTTTTTTATGCAAGATACTGTATTTAGTTCCTGTCATGCTTTTGAAAAATAGCCATTAAAGTGTTGGGATTTTTTTTTTAAATACAGTACAGTAACCAAAACATTGTGTGAAAATGGTCTTGAGCAATTCAGTTAAATTGATTGATAACACTGATTGATCACCAGGTCCGAGCAGTAAATGAGCTAAACTCAAATGCCTTGCACCATTCCCTTATAGCACACGACTGCCATCTAGAGTTCAAATTCAACCTTTAAGAAGACATATGACTGATGTGACATATTAAATACTAGCCTGGGCTGGATTCAGGTTTTACAAAAATCACCATCTTGTGGAATGTCGTTGTCCCGCTAGGGCCGTTGTAATCATAAGCATAGGCGATGATCTTGCGTAGCAGTCATGGAAAAGTTTACATGCTGTTAAAAAAATCTGGGAATTTTTGGACACCTCACTGGCTCACAATTTGAAGTGTCATGCGACAGCAAAATTCAAATACAGTGCCATGAAAATGTACAGTATATTCCCCTTCGAAAATTCTCAGTTTCCCCACTTCAGTGTTTTAGATCACCAAACAAACAAATCAGACAAAGTTAACCTAGGTCAACATACAACAAACAAAAAAACGGTTTTAAATGGAATTTTGATTAATTTGGGAGGGAAAAAATCTGAGCTACCTGAATCTCTGTAAAAAAGCACTTGCCCCCCTTGTTTAATCATGAATTTACTGAGGCTGATCACACACGTCTGATTATCTCCAGACCTGTTCGATCATGAAAACACAGAAGTAAAAGCTGTCTGACAACTTGAAGTTGGCTAACAGATCAGTGCTGGAGCCAAAAACTTTTCGCGGGTTTGGCCAGGATGACACAACACCTCAAAGAGGGGTGGCCATGCATGGGTGTGTCATTCTTTATGATACCCTCCACAGTCACAGTTTCACGAAATAAAATACTCACATATCCAGAACAATGTCCATCACACCCAGCAAGGTTCTGGATATGTGTGATTTCATGAAATCATGACTGTGGGCGAGGTATGATAAACACTGACTTCTGTGCCATTTTTTGGTTTGCGATGGAAATGATTTAGATTAATGTTGACGCAAAGAATGAATGTTCGTGATTTAAGTCGTGTGAAAATAGCATAAAGATCACAGCTATTTGGGTGGCCAAGGGCGTGGCCAGAGAGTGACCCCACCATGTAGCACTGCCCCTGCAAAAGATCTCAAAAAGTTACAACAAACTGCCATGATCCAAAGAAATTCAACAACGGCTGAGATATCAATTGACATCTCTCAGTCTGCAAAGCTACGATAAGAGCTACTATCCACAAATTGAGAGAGCATGGAACAATAATGAACCTTCCCAGGAGTGGCTGGTGGTGGTAATGTGATTATCCCGGGGTGCAATGCTCCTCCAGGACCTGGAAGACTTGCTGTCATTGATGGAACCATTAATTCTGTTACCATTTGGAAGAGGTTGAACAATGTGAATGATCCTGCTAAATGAACACGAGTAATGGCCTTTGTTTCTACTTTAGGATATCTGGGCTGATTCTCTGGAATCTTGTTTCTTAAATCATCCAGCGAGATGTTCTGAAAGACAAATGTTGATTTTCAAAACGGAGAAAGTGGCATTCCAGATCCAAAATTTTTCCAATAAAAGGTATCACTTGCCTCGTGTTCCTGATCCAAAACCAAAAATAAGTCGTCCAATTTAACTGGAAGAGACATGATAGACACTTCTGCATCAAGATACTGAACAGCATAAATCTCTATTTGAGTGAAGAGGCACTCACAAATCAGGGCGTGTTTGTGGTGAATAAGATTTCTCAGTTTCTGCTGGAGGGCATCATCCAGCTTTGTTCCCATCATGGTCTGCAGGATTATAAACAGGATAAAATCAGCAAGTGATTCCCAACCAGCTCGTGTGCTGTGAGAGGTTGTCAAAAAATATTTTTAATTCAATGCAAGTATGTCTTTGTTGAGCTATCTATGTCAACAATATATAGTGACAGGTGGAACAATTTGATGGCAGAAGACACTTCGACTTTGGGTCGACATTTTTATTCAATGGTGTGCCGTGAGATTCTTCGAATGTACAATGGGTCCCTTGGCTCAAACGTTGGAAAAAACTCAAATAGAAAAGAAAGAAACAAAGTATAAACGAATGACACAACATGGAATAACATTGTAATGGAATTGCATCAGTTTTACTCACCATTTTCCTGCTGATCTTTTTCCTCAGGTTTCCCGACTGGGACTGAGAGTATTTAAAAAAAATGGAAAAAAAAGAAGAAGAAAGAAAAAAAAGCTTTAATTTTGAACACAGATGTTATTCAATAGTTCCGCGCACGCACGCTTGCTCAATAAATACAAAATACCGAGCTGAAACCCTGTTGACTACTTGGGCGTGGTCGTGAAACCTTGTAAAAACAACATTTCTAAGCCCCGTATCGGAAACAGTTCATTGGGAACGCCACTTAAAGTCCAATATTTGGTACATCAAATTACTCAGACATAGATGGGAAAAAAAATAAAAAATGTTCAATTTGGTTGTGAGACCAGTTTGAGGTCGGGCTACAGAAGCTCGACGAAGATAAATTTGGGACTTTCCCAGCAGTTAGAACGTAGCATGATCTTCTGCAGCGAAAATACACAAATATATTTCTAAAAACGCATCACTCACTTGTGGAGTGCTTTAAAACATAAAAAAATGAAATGCACGACATGGCATTATTGGCGCCAGTCATATCTTTGCAACCCCACCCAATCTGTTCATTTTGAAACGATCCAAATTAAACATAAAGATTGGTAATTTAGGATTTATAAATACAGCATGCATTTTCAACCACCAAACACGAGCAAAATAGATTTGTGTTGCAAACTGCTTACCTGTTAAGGAGAAGACAAAGCACGGCGAGCTTCGGAACAATTCAGGTGTATGTAAAGCACTGAATGTGCAGGTATGAACCTGTCTCTTATGGTTAACATCTGTTTTCTTCTTCTCTGTTTGTCATCTTTAATTGCCGTTTTGAACTGTCTTTTATGATACAGTTTAAGCCCAGCGCCCCATGCTGGCCAGGTCCAATTTAACAGGTATGCGCTCAAAACTGCTGACAAGCTTTTGCTCGCTTCGGTAGAAAATAAATGGTTAGTCTGATATCTTTACAATGGTGTGCAAACTCACTAAACGTGGACTACTGTCGGGGTGGCCAACCTGCGTCTCGCGAGCCGCATGCGGCTCTTTGGCTGATTCAATGCGGCTCCTGGATTTTCCTGTGACCAGCATCGAAAACGCCTCGGCGGTGGCGCTGCCATTCAAACATTGACACCAATGTTATGTGTGATTTTTGCTTCTTTCTCCTCCAGAGGACGACAAAGAGAGGCAGTGGCAGCGAGGCCGAGAACTCCGCCAGCAATTCTGACAGGGATGACGAAGAGACAGAGAAACGGGCGCGAGAGGTCGACGACGATGACGATGACGATGACGAAGAGCGAGACAGAGCCAAGATTAGCGCCCTTGTTTGCGCATGAGCAGTGGCCTAAAGGTTAAAATTAAATTGTCATCTGACTGGTTTCCCTAGCGCAGGGCTCCCCAACCGCCGGTCCGCGGGCCGGTACCGGTCCGCGGGGCATTTGGTACCGGGCCGCACAATCAGAACTTACATTAATTCTGTTGTATTTATTTTGGAATACGAAAGATATTTTACTTTGAAAAATGACCCAATTCTCCATTACATCCGTTTGTGTCATTCTTGACGCACGTCAAACCACACTTCTCCGTCACGTGACTGATGAGCTTGCTAAATGAGTAAAATAAACTTCTGGAGATCGCAAATGACGGCGGCCTTAAAAGTACGTTCGAGACAACAACTCTGCCGGTGTTCTGGATTCAAGTTATGGCTGAATACTCTGAGATCGCCACAATCGCACTGTTGCTATTTCCGACATGCTACCTGTGTGAGGAGGGGGTTTTGTGCACCAACGGCGACTAAAACAAAATTACGAAGTAGACTCGACATAAAGCACATACTTCAGGTGTCATTGTCTCCTATTACCCTGAGATGGGACCACCCGGTTGCAGAAAATCAAGCTCGGGGCTCGCACTGATTCAGCATTGTGGTGAGTTGACATTTTCATGCACTTTGAATTTGCGTTGTATCATATTTTGAAGGCATTAAACATTACCATTGCGATCAGAGTGTTGCGGCCAGATGAGACGCGCCGCGTGTTTATTATTATCTCTCGAAAACACCACAGTGTTCATGCAGCTCTTACCATATTATTTTGTAGGATTTATCCGCCACACCTTAAATGCCAGTCCATGAAAATATTGTCTGACACAAACCGGTCCGTGGGGCAAAAAAGGTTGGGGACCCCTGCCCTAGTGGATAATCTATGATTTGCATCTTATTAAAAATAATTCCGTGTCTTTTATGCATTTTTTCACTTTTAAATGATCCTGCGGGCCTGATCGAACCTCCTTAGTGGCCGGTTCCGGCCTACGGGCCTAATGTTTAACACCCCTGATTTAGAGTGTTCCATTAAACCTGCCATGCATGTTTTTGGAATGTGGGAGGAAACCATATGTTATTTTGTTTGTATATCTATCTATCTATCTATCAAGATATATACTATCTATCTACAGTATATATACAGGTATATATATCGGTCAGATATATATATATGTCAGATATATATATGTCAGATATATATATAAATATATATATATATATATATATATATATATATATATATATATATACATAAATCCAACATTTGTCATGCTTGCGTCAAAATCGGCATGTGGTTACACCTCAAGAAATTACAATATTGGAAATGTGTCATGTAATTTCATTACACACTGAGCAAAATATGTTATCCATGAAATATTAATTTATAACTAACAAAAAAAACCAAAATTTACCAACTCAAGAAATTGGAATATTGCATATGAAACAATAAAAATTATTTTGATCGTGTAAAGGGTAGCAATTGGCCTTCTGAGAATTACTTTCCTGTCATCTGAGTTTCACTGTTTGAAATGAACTGGAGTACAGATTTTCCCCCACACAAGATTCCAATTATTGACACGCGCCTGCATCAAATCAATCTGACCTTCATAATCATTAACTGATATGATATCAAACTGTTATTTGTCATGGTGGGATTTTTTTTTTTCAATGTGGCCTTGATTTGTTTTTGCGATACTTAAAATTGAAGTTCTTCAAAAGATGCAAAATGGAACAAGTTATATAGGTCCATCCATTTATTAGCAAGTGAAATGCCATCAAAAAAGAAAATGGACAGAAATTGTCACCATGTTAATTGGTTTTTAATCTTGGCGAGCCAGCTCCATTTCCAGCCACTGCTCGGTCAAGTCGTTCTTGTTCGTGATCGTCAAATACTGAGTGGAACAGAAAATGGAAAAAACATCATTTTTTGGCTCCCCAGACCTACACAAGTCATTGTGAGAAATGAGAGATCAACGTTACCTTGGTGGCATTCATCGCTTTCTTCGCTAAATCCACGCTGGACGCATACGTCATCACGGTGCCTGGAGTGCACCCTTTGGATTCAATGCACAATAAGTATGTTTGAGAATACATAATGAGCACAAGTGTGCACACCCTGATATTGACAAACTCAAAGTTATCATGTTTAAAAGTTTCATTTTGTTGTATGCTTGATTGACCTCGAACGCGTGTGTTCATACAGCTTTCGAGCACAAAGAAAAAAGAGCCAACTTGAACTGAATGGAACTGAGGGCTTGTTAACTGATAGTACAGACAGAAAGGTTCAATTTTGGGTGGGCAGCACGATAAGATGTCCTTGAGTTTGCTACAGTGTCTCAATTCATGCGAAATCTACCCATTGAAGTAACAAGGTATCCATTGTTTGTACCGAGAGATGTTTTGGCCTCCAGGTGCCCACTGAGGGGCGTATGGGGTGGACTGGGCTGAGAGGCGTGACATGTAAATGAAGAAGGGAGTGTTTTTCTGATCTATCACTTGTAATTTGCATACACGATCAATAAAAAGCCGGCAGAGGCTGCAGAGGTCAGGTGTCAGTTGAGAAGCGCACACGGAGTGGCATCATAGAAAACTGCGCCTCCTGCCGGCAGCAAAGACAATCTCTTCCTGAGTCTGCTTGTTCAACTGTCAGAGCGAACATCTCTGACACATCCTCATATCTGGGGGCGTGGCTTTGTTCGGAATTAATCCATCAAGTTCAAACTCATGTTAAAGAGGAGTCAGCGCACACTTGCAACTATTTCAGGTGCCTCTGATTAACACCAAATAAACTTCAGCTGTTCAACTGTTAAACCCCCACTTGAAATGATTTCTTCTTTTTGAATTGAGTTGGAGAGGGAAAAAAAGGTTTTCAAATGCTTTATCGTGGTCTTGTTTTTTTACATCATAAAAACCTTGCATTTGAACAGGCATGTGTTGACTTTATATCCACCACACCTCAAGCGAGCGCTTTAAACGGGGACCATGTGTCAGCGCAACTTGTTGACCTCATGACTGCCTTCCACTGAGCTCCTTGGTTCTCAAACAGAAAAATCTGGAAAAATTCGGCTTAGGTTGTCTTTTTTATGCGGAATATTTAGTTGCTTGTCACTCTTTAAAAAAATAGTAATTAGAGTTTTTGGAATTTGCTATTTTTTTTTTTTTATTTTTAATCTAGTGACCAAAAAATTGTTTTAAAATGGTCTTGAGCAGGGGTGGCCAACTCTTTGGCTTGTTCAATGCGGCTCCCGGGCTTTCACATGACTAGCGTCGAAAACGCCTCGGCAGTGCCGATGCCATTCAAACCAAGGCGCTAAATACACAGAACGTACTACGTCAGCCTATCATCAATCCCGTTACTTGATTGACAATAGAGGGCAACCAATCAGATGACTGCATCACCGCTCATGTGCAAACAACGGCGCTAACTTTCAGTCATTTTCCGCCCGTTCCGACTGTTGCTCGTCGTGGTGTGCGTGCCGATGTGCGCGAGTGCACTGGTGGGCACCCGCGTGAGTGCGTGCGTGCGAGTGTGCGTGCGGGCGTGTGTGTGTGCGCGCATGCAAGCGAGGAAGGGTTTGATGTGGCTCTTTGCAGTAACACAGTAAAAAAAAAAAATTGACTCTTCGTCCCTGACTGGTTGGCCACCCCTGGTCTTGAGCAATGAAGTCAAATTGATTGATAAAACTGATGGATCACCAAGTCCTACCAGAAATTAGCTAAACTCAAATGCCTTGCACCATGCCCTTAAAACGCACGACTGCCATCGATAGTTCAAATTCAACCTTTAAGAAGACATACGACTGATGCGACATATTAAATACTTACCGCCAGGGCTAGGGTCAGGGCTGACAAAAATCAGTATTTTGTAGGATGTCAGTGCCCCGCTGGTGTCGCGGTAATGATAAGGATAGGCAATGATCTTGCGTAGCAGTCAAGGAAAAGTTTACATGCTGTTAAAAAAATCTGGGAATTTTGGACACCTCACTGGGTTACAATTTGAAGTGTCATGTACCAGCAAAATTCAAATACTGTGCCATGAAAATGTATTTTCCCCTTCGACGATTCTCAGTTTCCCCACTTCAGTGTTTAAGATCATCAAACAAACGTGGAAATCAAAGTCAACCGAGGTAATCATGAGAAAAAAAAAAAAAAGATTTCATCAGGGGGAAAAAAATCTGAGCTACTTGATCCTCTGTAAGCAAACCCCCCCCCCCCCCCGCTTGTTTTATCATGAATTTACTGTGGCTGATCACACACACGTCTGATTACCTCCAGACCTGTTTGATCATGAAAACACAGAAGTAAAAGCTGTCTGACAACTTGAAGTTGGCTAAAAGATCAGGGCTGTAGCGAGAAACTTTTCCGGGGTTGGCCCGGGTGACACAACACCTCAATGAGGGGTGCCCATGCATGTGTGCGTCATTCTTTAATATACCCTCCACAGTCAAGAGTTTCATGAAATAAAATATTCACATATCCAGAACAATGTCCATCACACCCAGCAAGGTTCTGGATATGTGTGATTTCATGAAATCATGACTGTGTGAGGTATGATAAACACAATCAATTGACATCTCTCAGTCTGTAAAGCTACGATAAGAGCCACTATCCACGAATTGAGAGAGTATGAAACAATAATGAACCTCCCAGGAGTGGCTGGTGGTGGTAGTGTGATTATCCCGGGGTGCAATGCTCCTCCAGGACCTGGAAGACTTGCTGTCATTGATGGAACCATTAATTCTGTTACCATTTGGAAGAGGTTGAACAGTGTGAATGATCGTGCTAAATGAACACTAGTCATGGCCTTTGTTACTACTTTAGGATATCTGGGCTGATTCTCTGGAATCTTGTTTCTTAAATCATCCAGCGAGATGTTCTGAAAGACAAATGTTGATTTTCAAAACAGAGAAAGGGGCATTCCAGATCCAAAATTTTTCCAATAAAAGGTGCCACTTGCATCATGTTCCTGATCCAAAAGAAAACGCATTCTGTCCATTTTCACTGGAAGAGACATGATATACACTTCTGCATCAAGATACTGAACAGCATAAAAGTCAATTTGGGTGAAGAGGCACTCACTAATCAGGGCGTGTTTGTGGTGAATATGATTTCTCAGTTTCTTCTTGAGGGCATCATCCAGCTCTGTTCCCGTCATGGCCTGCAGGGTTATAAACAGGATAAAATTGGCAAGTGATTCCTAAACAGCTTGTGTGTAGTGAGAGGTCCTCAAAAATTATTTTTAATGAAATGCAAATATGTCTTTGCTGAGCTATCTATGTCAACAATGTATAGTGACAGGCAGAACAATTTGATGGCAGAAGACACTTAGACTTGGGTTACATTTTTGTTTAATGGTGTGCCGTGAGATTCTTCTAAAAACCTCAAATAGAAAAGAAAGAGACAAAACAGAAAAGAATGACACAACATGGCATCGGTTTTACTCACCATTTTCCTGCTGATCCTTTTCCTCAGGTTTCCCGACTGGGACTGAGAGTATTAAAAAAAAAAATGGAAAAAAAAAAAGAAGAAGAAAGAAAAAAAAAAGCTTTAATTTTGAACACTGATGTTATTCAATTGTTCCGCGCACGCACGCTTGCTCAATAAATACAAAATACCGAGCTGAAACCCTGTTGACTACTTGGGCGTGGTATTAAAAAAAAATGGTAAAAAAAAAAAAGAAGAAAAAAAAAAGCTTTAATTTTGAACACAGATGTTATTCTATAGCTGCGTGCACTCACACTTGCTCAATAAATACAAAATACCGAACTGTCTTTGGCATGAAAACCCTGTTGACTACTTGGGCGTGGTCCCGAAACCTCGTAAAAACGACATTTCTAAGCCCCCTATCGGAAAAAGTTAATTGGGAACGCCACTCAAAGTCCAAAATGTGGTACATCAAATTACTCAGACATAGATGGGAAAAAAAATGAAAAATGTTCACTTTGGTTGTGAGACCAGTTTGAGGTCGGGCTACAGAAGCCCTACGAAGATAAATTTGGGACTTTCCCAGCAGTCTGGGAACGTAGCATGATCTTCTGCAGCTAAAATACTAAAAACGCATCACTCAGTTGTGGAGTGCTTTAAAATGTAAAAAAATGAATTGCACCACATGGCATAATTGGCCCCAGTCATATCTTTGCAACCCCACCCAATCTGTTCATTTTGAAACAATCCAAATTAAACAAAGGTTGGAAATTTAGGATTTATAAATATGCATTTTCCACCACCAAACGCTAGCAAAATAGATTTGTGTTGCAAACTGCTTACCTGTTAAGGAGAAGACAAAGCACGGCGAGCTTCGGAACAATTCAGGTGTATGTAAAGCACTGAATGTGCAGGTATGAACCTGTCTCTTATGGTTAACATCTGTTTTCTTCTTCTCTGCTTGTCATCTTTAATTGCCATTTGAACTGTCTTTTATGATACAGTTTAAGCTCAGAGCCTCATGCTGGCTAGGTCCAATTTAACAGGTATGTGCTCAAAACTGCTGACAAGCTTTTGCTCGCTTTGGTAGAAAATAAATGGTTCGTCTGATATCTTTACATGGTGTGCAAACTCACTAAACATTGACTACTGCAGGGGTGGCCAACCCGCATCTTGCGAGTCGCATGCGGCTCTTTGGCTGGTTAAATGCGGCTCCTGGACTTTCACGTGACCAGCGTCGAAAACGCCTCGGCGGTGGTGCTGCCATTCAAACATTGACACCAATGTTATGTGTGATTTTTGCTTCTTTTTCCTCCAGGCGATGACAAAGAGAGAGGCAGTGGCAGCGAGGCCGAGAACTCCGCCAGCAATTCTGACAGGGATGAGTAAGAGACAGAGAAACGGGCGCGAGAGGTCGACGACGATGACGATGACGATGACGAAGAGCGAGACAGAGCCAAGATTAGGGGTGGGATGCCTCCGAGTGGCGCGAGGGGGGAACGCCGGGGCTCTTGGGCCCCAGTCGCGGCTAAATACCCACCAGTCGGCGGGGAAGGAGGTGGGGTCTCACAGGAAGGTGAGGCGCCCAGCACTCGCCCCACCGGAATGAAGGGGAGTTGGAGTAGCTGCCCCCCAACCCTCCTTCAACAATAATCACACTGGGTGTGAACCTCGCGTGGCACCAGCGAGAGTCGTACCAGGTGTGGGACCCGGGAGGGGGTGCAAGTCCCTGACGGGGCGATTGGCCAGGAGGAGGAGGAGGAAGATTAGGGGCAAGAACAAGAGGAGGCGCTCACGCAACAGCGAGATGCGAGACGAGGAGGAGATCTTCGGGAGTGACGATGATGACAACGAGACCAAAAGGAGCAGCGGCAAGGTGGACAACGACGATGACGACGAGGGAGGAAGAGGAGCTACAAGCCTGAGGATTTCAGAAATTCACAGAAACCGTTTTTCGGTTCCGTTGAATTACCCAATGGGAAACCACGGTAACTAATTTTGGGTTCGGTGAATGTTCATCATGGGAACCCATTTTTCTATTTTGACTTACATTCATAATCAAGAATTCTCATACTCACTCAAAAGTTATAATATTACCACCACCACCAATTAATAAGATCAAAACAAAAGTAGAATCGAAGAAAAACACTCACACCGTGACCACACTACAAACACATACAGGCTCAGTGAAATCGCGTTGACACGCTACCGGAAACGATCGACACTGTGAAATCCTCAGGCCTGAGGTAGCAGTCGCAACGTCTCCCCGGCTCTCGGCGAGCGCAGCAGCGACCACTCAGAGCCTCTGGAGCACAGCGGCAGCACCAGTGAGTGGGTGTCTGAATCCATTGACACCAGTGACTCTGAATGATTGCACTGTCGTCATCATGACACAGACGCCTGCTCGTGCTTCTTGGATTCCTTCTCTTGAACAATGCTCTTCAAATCGGGCTTGTATTCCGTTGTTGCCACTCGAAGCAGGCGCTGTCTGCCTGCGAGCTGCAGCGGTTACTGACTACTTGGGTCAGCTTGCCAGATAGGGCAAGCTTTTTTGACCGAAGATCGACTTTTGAAGCAGCCATCCTCCCGCGATGGACAAGATCGTGCACGTGTAAGCATGTAATCACACACGCACGCATGCACGCGGATGCCAACCATGCACTCGCACACATTCGCCACACACACTCGCCACGACGAGCAACAGTCGGAATGGCCCCTCACACGAATGAAACCGAAACACACAAATTCCCCCCCCCCCTCCGAATCATTAATTTGTTTGAGATCAAACTGTTATTTGTCATGGTGGGATCTTTTTTTTTAAATGTCCTTGGTTTGTTTTTGCGATACTTAAAATTGAAGTTCTGTAAAAGATGCAAAATGGAACACGTTAGTTATATAGGTCCATCCATTGATTAGCAAGTGACATGCCATCAAAAAAAGAAAATGGACAGAAATTGTCACCATGTTAATGGGTTTTCAAACTCAGCGAGCCAACTGGTTTTTCAGCCACTGCTCGGTCAAGTCGTTCTTGTTCATGATTTCGAGAGACTGAGTGGAACACAAAATGGAAAAAAAAAACATAATTTTTCGGCACCCCAGACCAACACAAGTCATTGTGAGAAATGAGAGATCAGCGTTACCTTGGTGGCATTCATCGCTTCCCTCGGGAAATGCACGCTGGCTGTGTACGCCATCAGGGTCCTTGCGGAGCACCCTTTGGATTCAATGCACAATAAGTATTTTTTGGGGACATTCAACATACCGTGTTCATTTGACATAATGAGCACAAGTGTGCACACCCTCATATCTGGGGATGCGGCTTTGTTGGGAATTAATCCGTCAGATTCAAACTCGTTTAAGAGGAGTCAGCGCACACTTGCAACTATTTCAGGTGCCTCTGATTAACATCAAATAAACTTCAGCTGTTCAACTGTGAAACCCCCACTTGAAACGATTTTTAATTTTTCAAATACTTCGTTGTGGTCTTGATTTTTTAAAATCACAAAAACCTCGCATTTGAACAGCCGTGTGTTGACTTTATACCCACCACACCTCGAGTGCTTTAATATCAATGTAAATGGAGACCACGCACGTGTCAGCGCAATTTGGCCTCATGACTGCCTTCCACTGAGCTCCTTGCTTATCATACAGAAAAATCTGTTAAAATTGGATGTAAAAAACATATACAAACAATTCGGCTTATGTTGTCTTTTTTTATGCGCGATATTTAGTTGCTTGTCACTCATTTGAAAAATAGTCATGAGAGTGTTTGGAATTTTTTTTTTTTCATCTAGTGACCAAAAAAATTGTGTTCAATGGTCTTGAGCATTTCAGTAAAACTGATTGATAACACTGATTGATCACCAAGTCCTACCAGTAAATGAGCTAAACTCAAATGCCTTGCACCATGCCCTGAAAGCACACGACTGCCATCTAGAGTTCAAATTCAACCTTTTCGAAAACATATGACTGATGCCCCATATTAAATACAGTACTTACCAAGGCTGGGGCCAGGGTTTACAAAAATCTGTATCTTGTGTGATGACAGTCTCCCACGAGTGTCAATGTAATCATAAGGAAAGGCGATGATCTTGCGTTGCAGTCAAGGAAAAGTTTACATGCTGGTAAAAAAGTCTGGGAATTTTTGGACTCTTCCCTTTGTTACAATTTGAAGTGTCATGCTACAGCAAAATTAAAATAGAGTACCATAAAAATGTATTTTCCCCTTCGAAAATTCTTAGTTTCCCCACTTCAGTGGTTCAGATCACCAAACAAATGTGAAAATCAGACAAAGTTAACCGAGGTAAACAAAAAAAAAAAAAAGATTTGTTTCGAGGGAAAAGATCTGAGCTACCAGAATCTCTGTAAAAAAGCACTTGCCCCCCTTGTTTAATCACAAATTTTCTGTGGCTTATCATACACACACACACGACAGAAATCACACGTCTGATTACCTCCAGACCTGTTTGATCATGAAAACACAGAATTAAAACCTGTCTGACAACTTGAAGTTGGCTCAAGGATAAGCCAAGGGCGTGGCCAGAGAGTGACAAGACCACCATGGAGCACCGCCCCTGCAAAATATCTCAAATATTTCCAACAAAATGCCATGATCCAAAGAAATTCAACAACGGATGAGATATCAATTCTCAGTCTGGAAAGGGTTAGAAAGTCATTCCTAAGGTTTCAGGAATCTGGAAAACGACGATGAGAGCCACTATCCGCAAATTGAGAGAGCATAGAACAATTATGAAGCTTCCCAGGAGGGATCAGCCAACAGAATTACACCAAGAGCACAGCGACAACTCATCTCGGAGGTCCCAAAGGAACCCAGGACGACAGGCCACCCTTGCCAGACATGTCAAAATTGACATACATGGCAGAGTTCCAAGGCGATAATGACCACAGATTAAAAAAAGAACAAAAAAAAAACAAAGGCTCATCATCATTTTGCAAAACACATCTGAATGATTCCCAAGACTATTGCGATTATATTCAATGGCCTGACAAAACAAAAGTTGAACTTTTTGGAAGGAGTTTGTCTCGTTAAACCTGGTGTAGATAAAACACATCATTTCAGAAAAAGAAAATTATACCAGCAGTCAAACATAGTGGTGGTTGTGTGATGATCTTGGGGGTGCATTGCTCCTCCAGGACCTGGAAGACTTGCTGTCATTGATGGAACCATTAATTCTTTTACCAGTTTAACAGGTTGAACAGTGTGAATGATCCTGCTAAATGAACACGAGTCATGGCCTTTGTTACTCCTTTAGGATATCTGGGCTCATTCTCTGGAATCTTGTTTCTTAAATCATCCAGCGAGATGTTCTGAAAGACAAATGTTGATTTTCAAAACAGAGAAAGGGGCATTCCAGGTCCAAATTCTTTCCAATAAAAGGTGTCACTTGCCTCGTGTTCCTGATCCAAAATCAAAAGATTCTTTTCCATTTTCACTGCAGGAGACATGATACACCTGCATCAAAATACTGAACAGCATAAAAATCTATTTGGATGAAGAGGCACTCACTAATCAGGGTGTGGTTGGGGTTCACAAGATTTATCAGTTTCTGCTTTAGGGCATCATCCATCTGTGTTCCCAACATGGCCTGCAGGGTTATAAACAGGATAAAATAGGCAAGTGATTCCCACCCAGCTCATGTGCAGTGAGAGGTTCTCAAAAATTATTTTTAATTAAACACAAATATGTCTTTGTTTGTCAATCTATGTCAACAATGTATCGTGACATGCAGAACAATTCGATGGCAGAAGACACTTTGACTTTGGGAAACATTTTTATTCAATGGTGTGCCGTGAGATTCTTCGAATGTACAATGGGTCCCTTGGCGCAAATGTTGGAAAAAAAAATCAAGTAGAAAAGAAAGAAACAAAGTAGAAAAGACTGATACAACATGGAACAACATTGTAATGGAATTACATCGGTTTTACTCACCATTTTCCTGCTGATCTTTTTCCTCAGGCTTTCCGACTGGGACTGAGAGTATTAAAAAAAATAAGAAGAAAGAAAGAAAAATCTTTATGATTGAATGCAGATGTTATTCTATAGCTCGACACACGCACGCTTGCTCAATAATTACAAAATTCCGAACTGTCTTTAGCAGGAAAACCCTGTTGACACCTCGGGCGTGGTCCCGAAACCTCGTAAAAACGACATTCCTCAGTCCCGTATAGGAAGAAGTTAATTGGGAACGCCACTCAAAGTCCAATATTTGGTACATCAAATTACTCAGACAGATGGGAAAAAAAAATAAAAAATGTTCACTTAGGTTGTGAGACCAGTTTGAGGTCGGGCTACAGAAGCTCGACGAAGATAAATTTGGGACTTTCCCAGCAGTTAGAACGTAGCATGATCTTCTGCAGCGAAAATACACAAATATATTTCTAAAAACGCATCACTCACTCGTGGAGTGCTTTAAAATGTAAAAAACTGAAATGCACCACATGACAAAATTGGCGCCAGTCATATCTTTGCAGCCCCACCCAATCTGTTCATTTTGAAATGATCCAAATTAAACATAAAAATTGGGAATTTAGGATTTATAAATAGGCATGTTCAACCACCAAACGGTAGCAAAATGGATTCATATTGCAAACTGCTTACCTGTAAAGGAGGGAGCAAAGCACGGCGAGCTTCGGAACAATCCAGGTGTATGTAAAGCACTGAATGTGCAGGTATGGCTCTGTCCCTTATAGCAAACGTCTGTCTTCTTCTTCTCTGCCTGTCATCTTTAATTGCCATTTTGAACTGTCTTTTATTATGCAGTTTAAGCCCAGCCGCCCATGCTGGCAAGGGCCAATTTAACAGGTATGCGCTCAAGACTCCCGACAATGTTTTGCTAGCTTCGAAAAAAAATGAATGGTGAGTGTGATATTTTTACAATGGTGTGCAAACTCACTAAACATGGTACACTGCAGTTGTGGCCAACCCGCGGCTTTGGCTGGTTCAATGCGGCTCCTGGACTTTCACGTGACCAGCGTCGAAAACGCCTCGGCGGCGGCACTGCCATTTGAGGGGGGGGGGAGATTTGTGTGTCTGTGTGTTTCGGTTTCATTCATGTGAGGGGCCATTCTGACTGCTGCTCGTCGTGGCGAGCGTGCACATATGCGCGAGTGCATGCATGGCACCCGCTTGCATGCCTGTGTATATTCTTGCACGTGCGCGATCGAGTCGATCGCAGCAAGTCGTTTCAAAAGTCGATCTTCGGTCAAAAAAGCTTGCCCTATCTGGCAAGCTGACCCAAGTAGTCAGTAACCGCTGCAGCTCGCAGGCAGACAGCGCCTGCTTCGAGTGGCAACAACGGAATACAAGCCTGATTTGAGGAGGATTGTTCAAGAGAAGGAATCCCAGAAGTCCCTGCACTAAGGCGCTAAGCAACATGCATAGTAAACGAAAAACATTTTATTTTTGTTTTTGGACTTGGTTGAACTGAGAGTTTGTGTGTGAGACAGTGCACACAATATTCATTGTTGAAAATGAGTGGCCTTTGGTCTTGGTACTGGAGGAGTCAATTTCTGTCATGACCATATTGGTGTGTGACATTTACAATAAATCTGGCTGAGCAGAGGTCTTTCTCTCTCTCTCTTTGTGTTCGTGTGTGTGTGTGTGGAGTGATGTTTATGTGTACCCATGTGTATGATGTGGCCAAAGAGCCACCGTAAAAAAAAATTGGCTCTTTGTCTCTGAATGGTAGGCCACCCCTGGACTACAGGAAGCGAAGGACCGTTGTCTCACGAGATAAACTGTTTTTTGTTGGTTTGTTTTTTTGGACCAAAAGTTTTTGTTCATGCGTCTAGTGCAATTACAAGATGATCATCACTCCCATCAAGGCTTGCAGCACGTTGACGCAGACCCCGCAAGAGCCAGCCAGCGCTCCTCCAGAAGTGACAAAGTCGGTGACGGATTAAGACGCGGCCCGCGAGGGATTTCATTCCCACAGCACACCCGCCTGCGATGGAGACTCCTCGGCGACGCCCATCTCGGACGGTGACATTGCCGGACAGTTCACCCGAGTCATGGGAAAAGGTAAGGATCATCTGTTTGCTATGCGGACCTGCTATGTTAAAAAAGAAAGTTAAAACAAATTTATAAAAAAAAAACAAAAAACCATTCACAGGTAATTCAGCACACTCTTAAAAAATTGTTCCTATGTGTAGTTCTTTCACTCCATCCACATTGTCAACTGATTCACACCATTCACTTGGATTAATATTCTCAAAATTCAAGAATTGCCTCTCTTATTTTTTTGAACATTCCATGTTTTTCCACATTTCTGCATATTTCATCAGAAAAAAATCAACTGAAATAAAAAACATTCCCCCCTTTTTTAAACCATTTTGCACTGTCCTACTCCCACATATTCATACCATTCAAAATTTCAGATAATCACACAATTGAAGATATTCAGGCTACTATTCTTGACATTGCAAAAATTCCCAGCTTTTCCCTTCACAACATGTTTTAGTTAGTGTATAATACTTGGGTGAAAGACACCTCCAACATGCCACTTACTTGGATTTCTGCCAGAAGAAGTCATCCACCTTCAGTTACACTTCTGTGACCAGACAATGTTTTCAGTTCTCCTGCAAAATGTCTCAGTAAACGTTGTTTTCAGCTCAATCTATTGTGTATTGACTTAGATCAAGCTCTAATAAAATTCATGACCCAATTATGAAGAAATAGGGGTTCAAATACTTTGCGTTGCACTTGTGTCCAACAATAAAACAATACAAAGAAATTACTTCATTGTGCACCATTGTCAAAATGTTGTATGGAAGTTGACACGCATGATTCGTTCAAGTATCTCGTCTCATTAAGAATTTGTCACTTTTATCCCCCTTTCAGTCGGCCATCATCACACAGAACTGTCCCAGAGAGGTAAATCGTGTTGATGCATGTCATATTGAACTGGAATGAAGGTGAAAATAACTTTTCAATAACAACCGTTTTGTGTTCATGACAGGTCGGGTGTGGTCTGTCGGGTGAAATACTGCAACAGCCTGCCGGACATCCCGTTTGACCCCAAATTCATCACTTACCCATTTGATCAGCACAGGTTCCATAAATACCAATTTCTACTGTCGCCACTAGGAGGCAGAAACACAATGAGTTGTTTTCTTGTTGCCCTGGTGACAGGTTTGTACAGTACAAAGCTACATCACTGGAGAAGCCGCACAAACACGAGATATTTTGTTCAATTAACAATAAACAAATACTTTGTGTGTATATATATATATATATATATATATATATATATATTTACATTCCCACATACAAGATTCTATTTAGTTGACACGTGCCTGCATAAAACCAATCTGGCCTTCATAATAATTAACTGATATGATGTCAAACTGTTATTTGTCATGGTGGGATTTTTTTTTCAATGTCTTTTATTTGTTTTTGCGAAACTTAAAATTGAAGTTCTGTAAAAGATGCAAAATGGAACACGTTATATAGGTCCATCCATTTATTAGCAACTGACATGCCATCAAAAAAGAAAATGGACAGAAATTGTCACCATGTTAATGGGTTTTCAACCTCAGTGAGCCAGCTGGTTTCTCAGCCACTGCTCGGTCAAGTCGTTCTTGTTCGTGATCGTCAAAGACTGAATGGAACACAAAATGAAAAAAAAACCCATCATTTTTGGGCCCCCGAGACCTACACAAGTCATTGTGAGAAATTAGAGATCATTGTTACCTGGGTGGCATGCATCACTTCCTTCACGAAATGCATGCTGGCTGCATACGCCATCAGGGTCCTTGCGGAGCACCCTTTGGATTCAATGCACAAAAAGTACTCTATGTTTTGGGGACATTCAACATACCATGTTCATTTTACATAACGAGTAAAACACCCTCATATCTGGGGACGTCGCTTTGTTTGGAATTAATCCGTCAGGTTCAAACTCATGTTCAAGGGGAATCAGCGCACACCTGCAACCATTTCAGGTGCCTCTGATTAACACCCAATAAACTTCAGCTGTTCAACTGTTGAACCCCCACTTGAAACGATTTCTTCTTTTTGAACTGAGTTGTAGAGGGAAAAAAAAGGTTTTCAAATACTTTATCGTGGTCTTGTTTTTTTAAATCACAAAATCCTCACATTTGAGCAGGTGTGTGTTTACTTTCTGTCCACCACACCTCGAGTGCTTTAATGTCAATGTCAGCGGGGACCATGTGTCAGCGCAATTTGACCTCGTGTCTGCCATCCACTGAAGTCCTTGCTTGTCATATGGAAAAATCAGTTAAAATTGGATGAAAAAAAAAAAAAGATGTAAAAATTCAGCTTATGTTGTCTTTTTTTATGCGGGATATTTAGTTCCTTGTCACTCTTTTGAAAAATAGTCATTCGAGTGTTTGGATTTTTTATTTATTTTTTTAATATAGTGACCAAAAAATTGTGTTAAAATGGTCTTGAGCAATTAAGTAAAATTGATTGATCATACGAATTGATCACCAAGTCCTACCAGTAAATGAGCGAAACTCAAATGCCTTGCACCATGCCCTGAAAGCACACGACTGCCATCTAGAGTTCAAATTCAACCTTTAAGCAGACATATGACCGATGCGACATATTAAATACTTACCGTCAGGGCTGACAAAAACCAGTATCTTGTGCAATATCAGTCCCCCGCTCGTGATGGTGTTCTCATGATGAAAGGCGATGAGCTTGAGTAGCAGTCAAGGAAAAGTTTACATGCTATGAAAAAAATCTGGAAATTTTCGGACACCTCGCTGGGTTAGAATTTAAAGTGTCATGCTCAGGCAAAATTCAGATACAGTGCCATGAAAATGTATTTTCCCTTTCGAAAATTCTCAGTTTCCCCACTTCAGAAGCACTTCCCCCACCTTGTGTAATCATGAATTTACTGTGGCAGATCACACACTTCAAAAATCACATACATCTGATTACCTCCAGATCTGTTTGAGCATGAAAACACTGAAGTAAAAGCTGTCTGACAACTTGAAGTTGGCTAAAAGATCAGGGCTGTAGCCAGAAACTTTTCGCGGGTTTGGCCAGGGTGACACAACACCTCAATGAGGGGTGCCCATGCATGTGTGCGTCATTCTTTAATATACCCTCCACAGTCAAGAGTTTCATGAAATAAAATATTCACATATCCAGAACAATGTCCATCACACCCAGCAAGGTTCTGGATATGCGTGATTTCATGAAATCATGACTGTGGGGAGGTATGATAAACACTGACTTCTGTGCCATGTTTTTTTGCTTGCGATGGTCATGATTTTGATTCATGTTGACGCTAAGAGTGAATGTTCTTGACTTATTATTTTAGAATTTACATTCAGGTCAATAACGCATTTGGCCTTTGAATGTGTAGTGAATATAAATGCGTTTTGGGAGAGTATTCAAAGGGTCGAGGAATACTCCATCCATGTGAAAATAGCATAAATATCACAGCTATCAAAATTTCCAGCAAGGCGTGGGGGTGACCAAGGGCATGGCCAGAGAGTGACAAGGCCACCATGTAGCACCGTCCCTGCAAAAGATCTCAAAAAATTGCAACAAAATGCCACGATCCAAAGAAATTCAAGAACGGATGAGAAATATGTTGACATCTCTCAGTCAGGAAAGGGTTAGAAAGTCCTTCCGAAGGTTTCAGGAATCTGAAAACTACGCAGACTCGTCAAAATTGACATACATGGCAGAGTTCCAAGGCGATAACGACCACAGATTTAAAAAAAAAAAAAAAACATAAAGGCTCATCATCATTTTGCAAAACACACCCGAATGATTCCCAAGACTTTTGGGGGTATATTCTATGGCCTGACAAAACAAAAGTTGACCTTTTTTGAAAGGAGTGCATTTCATTAAACCTGGTGTAGATGGAACACATCATTTCAGAAAAAGAAAATTATCCCAGCAATCAAACATAGTGGTGGTTGTGTGATGATCTTGGGGGTGCATTGCTCCTCCAGGACCTGGAAGACTTGCTGTCATTGATGGAACCATTAATTCTGTTACCATTTGTAAGAGGTTGAACAGTGTGAATCTTCTTCTTCTCCTTTCGGCTTGTCCCTTTTTCAGGGGTTGCCACAGCGAGTCATTAATTTCCATCTTTCCCTGTTCTCTGCATCCTCTACTCTGACTCCAACTACCTGCATGTCTTCCCTCACGGCATCCATGAATCTCCTCTTTGGCCTTCCTCTCTGTCTCCTACCTGGTAGCTCCATCTCTAACATTTTCCTACCAATGTATCCCCTGTCCCTCCTCTGTACATGTCCAAACCATCTCAGTCTGGCCTCTCTCACTTTTTCTCCAAACTTTCCTGTCTGAGTTGTCCCTCTGATGACCTCATTTCTGATCCTGTCCATCCTTGTCACTCCTAAGGAGAATCTCAGCATCTTTAACTCAGCCACCTCTAACTCTGCCTCCTGTCTTTTGCCAATTGCTAGTGTCTCGAGACCGTACATCATGGCCGGTCTCACAACTGTTCTGTAAACTTTTCCCTTTACCTTAGCTGACACCCTTCTATCACAAATCACTCCTGACACTTTTCTCCAGCTGTTCCATCCTGCCTGCACTCTATTCTTCACTTCTCTTCCACAATCTCCGCTGCTCTCAACTGTTGATCCTAGGTACTTAAATTCCTGTATCTTCGACACCTCTGCTCCCTGTAAACTCACCGTTCCACTGGTCTCCCTTTCATTTATGCACATGTACTCTGTCTTACTACGACTGACCTTCATTCCTCTTCTCTCCAGTGCAGACCTCCATCTTTCTAGGTTTTCTTGTAGCAGCTGTCTACTCTCACTAAAGATCACAATGTCATCTGCAAACATCATGGTCCAGGGCGACTCCTGTCTGACCTCATCTGTCAATCTATCCATCACCATAGCAAACAAGAAGGGGCTCAGGGCCGATCCTTGATGCAGTCCTACCTCCACCTTGAAGTCTTCTGTCCGTCCAACTGCACACCTCACCACTGTTGTACTATTCTCATACATGTCCTGAACCAACCTAACGTACTTCTCTGCAACCCCTGACTTCCTCATACAGAACCACAATTCCTCTCTTGGCACCCTGTCATAAGCCTTCTCTAAATCTACAAATACACAGTGCAGCTCCTTCCTACCTTCCCTGTACTTTTCCAGCAGCATCCTCAGGGCAAATATTGCATCTGTGGTGCTCTTCCTCGGCATGAAACCATACTGCTGTTCACAAATCTCCACTTCCTGTCTCAACCTGGCTTCAACTACTCTTTCCCAAACCTTCATCGTATGGCTCATCAACTTTATCCCCCTGTAGTTGCTACAACTCTGTACATCGCCCTTCTTATAGATTGGTACCAGGACACTCTTCCTCCACTCATCAGGAATCTTGTTCGTGTCTAATATTCTATTAAACAACCTAGTCAGAAAATCAACCGACACCTCCCCTAAGCACTTCCATACCTCCACTGGTATGTCATCTGGACCAACCGCCTTCCCACTCTTCATCCTTTTTAATGCTTTCCTGACTTCATCCTTTCTAACCTGATCGACCTTCTTCTTAATCCTCTCTGGCTCTTCATTCCTACGTTCCCTATTGTTTTCCTCATTTAACAACTCCTCAAAGTATTCTTTCCATCTCCTCAACACACTTTCCTCACTCGTAATGACATTTCCCTCTCTGTCTTTAATCAACCTCACCTGCTGTACATCCTTCCCAGCCTGATTTCTCTGTCTCGCCAACCTGTACAATTCTTTTTCACCTTCCTTTGTGTCTAACCTCTCGTATAACTCCTCATATGCCTTTTGTTTGGCCTTGGCCACTTCTCTCTTCACTTCCCTTGTCATCTTCTTGTACTCCAGCCTGTTCTCTTCTGTTCTCTCACTATCCCATCGCTTCTTCGCTAATTTCTTCCTCTGTACACTTTCCTGAACCTCAACATTCCACCACCAAGTCTCTTTGTCCACCTTTCTCTGTCCTGAGGCCACACCGAGCACCTTCTTTCCTGTCTCCCTAATCACTGCTGCAGTAGTCTCCCAATCATCTGGGAATTCCTCAACGCTGCCCAGAACTGCCCTTACCTCACTCCTAAATTCTTCACAACAGTCTTCTTTCCTCAATTTCCACCATTTTATTTTCTTCTCTGTCTTCACCCTCTTCCTTTTCCTCACCTCCATTGTCAGCTTGCACACTACTATCCTATGCTGTTTGGCTACACTCTCTCCTGGCACCACCTTACAGTCGTTAACCTCCCTCAGATTACCTCTTCTACATAGGATATAATCTATCTGTGTGGACCTGCCTCCACTCTTGTAAGTTATCAGGTGTTCTTCTCTCTTTTGGAAATAGGTGTTTACCACGGCCATTTCCATTCTTTTGGCAAAGTCTACCACTGCCTGTCCTTCCAAGTTCCTATCTCTAAGTCCAAACTTGCCCATCACTTCCTCATCACCTCTGTTACCTTCCCCTACATGACCATTTAAGTCTGCTCCAATCACTACTCTCTCTCCCCTGGGAATGCTCTCTGTCACTCTATCCATCTCATTCCAGAACTTTTCCTTTTCTTCTAACTCACAGCCCACCTGTGGGGCATACCCACTGACTACATTCATCATCACACCTTCTATCTCTACCTTCACGCACATCAACCTGTCTGACTCTCGTTTTACTTCTACTACATGTCTAGCATATTTTTCCTTTATAATCACCCCTACTCCATTCCTCTTCCCATCTACACCATGGTAGAACAGCTTGTAGCCTCCTCCAATGTTTCTAGCCTTGCTGCCCCTCCACCTTGTCTCCTGAACACACAGAATATCTACTCTCCTCCTCTCCATCATGTCAGCTAGTTCTCTGCCTTTCCCTGTCATTGTACCTACATTCAGAGTTCCTAACCTCAGACCAATACTTCTAACCTTCCTCCTTTCCCTCTTTCTCTGTACCAATCGTCCTCCTCTTCTTTGTCTTCTTCTTTGACCAACAGTAGTCCAATTTCCAACAGTACCCTGTAGGTGAACAGCACTGTTGGCAGTCGTTTTTATCCTGGGCCCCGACCGATCCAGTATGGAAATCGTTTTATCAACTCGCATGTTCGTTTTGGCAAAAGTTTTACGCCGGATGCCATTCCTGACGCAACCCTCCCCATTTTTCCGGGCTTGGGACCGGCACTGGTGAACAGTGTACCCCCAGGGGAGAGCACTGCTCCCTAGTGGCTAGGTTAAGAGGTTGAACAGTGTGAATGATCCTGCTAAATGAACACTCGTAATGGCCTTTGTTACTACTTTAGGATATCTGGGCTGATTCTCTGGAATCTTGTTTCTTAAATCATCCAGCGAGATGTTCTGAAAGACAAATGTTGATTTTCAAAACAGAGAAAGGGGCATTCCAGATCCAAAATTTTTCCAATAAAAGGTGCCACTTGCATCATGTTCCTGATCCAAAAGAAAACGCATTCTGTCCATTTTCACTGGAAGAGACATGATATACACTTCTGCATCAAGATACTGAACAGCATAAAAGTCTATTTGGATGAAGAGGCACTCACGAATCAGGGTGCGTTTGAGGCTAAAATTGCCCAGTTTGTTCTTGAGGGCGTCATCCATCTGTGGTCCCATCATGGCCTGCAGGGTTATCAACAGGATAAAATAGGCAAGTGATTCCCAACCAGCTCGTGTGCAGTGAGAGGTTCTCAAAAATTATTTTAAATTAAACACAAATATGTCTTTGTTTGTCAATCTATGTCAACAATGTATCGTGACATGCAGAACAATTCGATGGCAGAAGACACTTCGACTTTGGGTCGACATTTTTATTCAATGGTGTGCCGTGAGATTCTTCGAATGTACAATGGGTCCCTTGGCTCAAACGTTGGAAAAAACTCAAATAGAAAAGAAAGAAACAAAGTAGAAAAGAATGATACAACATGGAACAACATTGTAATGGAATTACATCGGTTTTACTCACCATTTTCCTGCTGATCTTTTTCCTCAGGCTTTCCGACTGGGACTGAGAGTATTAAAAAAAATAAGAAGAAAGAAAGAAAAATCTTTATGATTGAATGCAGATGTTATTCTATAGCTCGACACACGCACGCTTGCTCAATAATTACAAAATTCCGAACTGTCTTTAGCAGGAAAACCCTGTTGACACCTCGGGCGTGGTCCCGAAACCTCGTAAAAACGACATTCCTCAGTCCCGTATAGGAAGAAGTTAATTGGGAACGCCACTCAAAGTCCAATATTTGGTACATCAAATTACTCAGACAGATGGGGAAAAAAAAATAAAAAATGTTCACTTAGGTTGTGAGACCAGTTTGAGGTCGGGCTACAGAAGCTCGACGAAGATAAATTTGGGACTTTCCCAGCAGTTAGAACGTAGCATGATCTTCTGCAGCGAAAATACACAAATATATTTCTAAAAACGCATCACTCACTCGTGGAGTGCTTTAAAATGTAAAAAACTGAAATGCACCACATGACAAAATTGGCGCCAGTCATATCTTTGCAGCCCCACCCAATCTGTTCATTTTGAAATGATCCAAATTAAACATAAAAATTGGGAATTTAGGATTTATAAATAGGCATGTTCAACCACCAAACGGTAGCAAAATGGATTCATATTGCAAACTGCTTACCTGTAAAGGAGGGAGCAAAGCACGGCGAGCTTCGGAACAATCCAGGTGTATGTAAAGCACTGAATGTGCAGGTATGGCTCTGTCCCTTATAGCAAACGTCTGTCTTCTTCTTCTCTGCCTGTCATCTTTAATTGCCATTTTGAACTGTCTTTTATTATGCAGTTTAAGCCCAGCCGCCCATGCTGGCAAGGGCCAATTTAACAGGTATGCGCTCAAGACTCCCGACAATGTTTTGCTAGCTTCGAAAAAAAATGAATGGTGAGTGTGATATTTTTACAATGGTGTGCAAACTCACTAAACATGGTACACTGCAGTTGGGGCCAACCCGCGGCTTTGGCTGGTTCAATGCGGCTCCTGGACTTTCACGTGACCAGCGTCGAAAACGCCTCGGCGGCGGCACTGCCATTTAAACAAGAACTGACAATGTCAGACGATCATCAATCCCGTTACTTGATTGACATATGGGGCAACCAGTCAGATGACAAATCAGTTTTGACCTTTATGTCATTGATCATGTGCAAACAACGGCGCTAAGCGCTAAGCTAGTCAACAAATTACCTCTGAGTTTTGATGAAATTACCCAATAAGTCGATCGCGATTGACCGGGAGCCAGTGGTCCGATCCCAAGTTGACCACGGGGGGTTGGAGGGGGGGGGGGGGGGGGGGGGGGGGGAGATTTGTGTGTCTGTGTGTTTCGGTTTCATTCATGTGAGGGGCCATTCTGACTGCTGCTCGTCGTGGCGAGCGTGCACATATGCGCGAGTGCATGCATGGCACCCGCTTGCATGCCTGTGTATATTCTTGCACGTGCGCGATCGAGTCGATCGCAGCAAGTCGTTTCAAAAGTCGATCTTCGGTCAAAAAAGCTTGCCCTATCTGGCAAGCTGACCCAAGTAGTCAGTAACCGCTGCAGCTCGCAGGCAGACAGCGCCTGCTTCGAGTGGCAACAACGGAATACAAGCCCGATTTGAAAAGGATTGTTCAAGAGAAGGAATGCCAGAGGTCTCTGCACTAAGGCCCTAAGCAACATGCATAGTAAGAATAAAACATTATATTTTTGTTTTTAGACTTGATTCAACGGAGAGTTTGTGTGTGTGAGACAGTGCATACAATATTCATTGTTGAAAATGACTGGCCTGTGGTCTTAGTACTGTAGTAGTCAATTTCTGTCATCATGTTAGTGTGTGACATTTACAATACATCTGGCTGACAACTGTGTGTGTGTATGTGCGTGCGTGCGTGTGTGTGTTTGTGTGTGTGTGTATTGCTGTAACACTGTAAAAAAAATTGGCTCTTCGTCTCTGACTGGTAGGCCACCCCTGGATGACAGGAAGCAAAGGACAGTTGTCTCACAAGATAAACTGTTTTATTTTATTTTTTTTTCTTTCATGAACAAAGGGACACCCAAAGTTTTTGTTCGTGCATGTAGTGCAATTACAAGTTTCTTAAAACAGAATCTGTTCTTATCAGATCACACAGAAACAGGCCTGCTGCTTTGTATCACCATTCATGAAAACACTGAACTCTCACAGCAGGCCTTCGGTCACACAACACTCGGGAAAATCTATACGGGGCTCGTCACTGGAATTTGGTATCTACAAAAGCTCCGTTTTGCGGTTGCTATGGCGACTGAGCGTGCAAAGGGTTGTCTTGCAAAACAATGACCATTCAAGAATGGCATAAAGCAACATAAAAAAAGTGCATCAATTCATTTTGTCTTTTTTTTCACAGAAATCAACTCAAGCAAAATTTAAATATTGTAGTTTGTGGTTCATATCATTCCAAATCTGCAAAAAAATATTTTAGGCCAACTTACACTGTATTATGGGGCAGTATAAGAACATATAATGGTGATTGGTGTTATGACAAGTTAAACTGCAGTCGACCCTTCACTCTTTGCAGTTTGTCAGCTGCATATTCACATTCGCATATTCAATTACCCCCTCACCCCTATACAGTTTTACACATTTTGGACCCCCCCCCCCCTCCCCACAACCATTTTTTCGTGGAAAACATATATTGAATGTTTTCCGCGTTTTTGGGGGGAAGATTTGGATGTGTAAAATATATGTATTTATCTCCATCCATTTTACGACCCGCTTATCCTCACAAGGGTCGTGGGTAGTGCTGGAGCGTATCCCAGCTGTCTTTTTTCAATCAGCCCGCCATGCATGTTTTTGGAGCAGGGGAGGAAACCGGCCGCAGCCCCGGGGAGAACATGCAAACTCCACACAGGGAGGCCGGAGCTGGAATTGAACATTCGGACTATGGTTGCAGGCCGATGGTTGACCGATTGTTGGTACATATTCTATATATTCTAGTATGCATTGAATGAATCCAAATTACACATTTGTGATTTTGTAACTCTTCAAAAAGTCATTTTTTTCAGTAAGGTGTTCCGTTTTTTCCTGTAGTCTTTAGACTGGTTTTCGCTAAACAAAAGCAGAATAATACCTTTTTTTAAATGATAATTTTTCATGTGTTATGACAACATGACGCACGGTCCAGACGTATGATGTCAGACGTCTGACGTTCGCGCACGTCCAAGGAAAAAAAAAACGAAGTACATTTTTCACCAGGCGTACACTCTTGTATAATGATAAACACATTTTTTTGGACACACGTTCTTTGACTTTGTTGTATCCACTGCGGGACTATCTTTGTCATGGACAACACCACGACCGTGGATCGGAATGTTCGCCTCTCGCTGCTAAGGCAACCTTATTGCTAGCAAAACTTGCTATAAGCTACGAAGGTAGCCGCCAAGCGCTAAGCTATGCGTTAGCACGTTAGCCTCACCTTGCTAAAAGCACCGACAAAGCGACAAAGGTAAACAACCCTGTGTCTTCTCCGCGTATGTTCGTGTATTAACCCCAGTGTCGTCTCGGTGAACTTATTCGACGTGGCCATGTTTTCGTTTAAACGTTTTGAGGGCAAGTTTTTTAAGCAGCAACACCGCCAACGAAAAACAATACAAATTCCATCCCATCCCTAGCAAGGCCGACTTTGCTAGCGCTGGCTAGCTCATTCCAGTTGTCAATGTCGCCTAGAAGTCTCGTTTTACTCTCCTATGACTATTCCCGGGAACACTGTGCTGACCTAACCCCCGCTCAGGGTGTGGTTATGTCGCTCCTAATGTTACAGGTGCCACCATTTGTAGTGACGGGCGAGTGTTTGACATGCTACATTAACATTATGCTTGCCGCCGGTCACCCAGTTGTATGTACCGTACTGTTCTGTAGTGTATGCCTGAACCCACGTTGATTCAGTTCGCTATATGATTTCTAGTATCAAGATCAAGTTTTAAAGCAAGGCAACGTTATATAAATGGGTATATTGCATATTTCGTACACAAGGCAACTCAATGTGCTTCACACAAACAAAGACGGAACACCTAAATTCATTGACAACACAACGGCCAAAGACATTCAGGCAGAGAAAACAAAAGTACCTTACCAGTGACAATATTCAAACACGTAACAAGAGTTACAATGTTTCTTTTTTAAGGAGCTTTCCAAAATCATATAGTGTTGTATTTTTAAATTAACAAACACAACGATGAATCAGTTTTACAATTAACAGTGTCAGATGTATTGCACCTAAATGTTTTGGTCTGATAGGTTAGTTTGGGTCCTCACTGAGTGGCGAATGTTTCCGAATGTAACAAATGTTGGGTTTTTGTCAGGGCAGGGCTCCACGCTGCTCTGAAACGCATATCTTCACTTGAGACCCACCACTCTAAGTCATCAGTAGTGTTATTTAGTGGAAAGGTGAATTACATGGTAGGCTGTGAAAAACTGAAAACCACGGTTCTATTGCTGTTCATATTGAATGATCTAGAGTAGGGGTGCCCAACCAGTCGATCGCGATCGACTAGGAACTCGCGAACTGGTCCCAAGTCGATCGCGGAAATGTAGGGGTAAATGGGCAAAAAAAAAAACATTTGTGTGTCTGTATGCGTGTCATTAATATTATACATTTTTGTGTTCGTGTACACTTCACCCCAAGCATCCTACCAGTTTCACTTTCAAACCCCCCCCCCCAAAAATATGTGTTTAAAAAAAAACAACATAAAAAGCAGGTCACCTTCAACTTACCGTGGCGCGTGACCTCCACGCCTCCACCACAATTGCAGCTTGTGACCAGAGCTGTCGCAATATATCCATTAAAAAATATATCATTCTCCATCAGTTTCTTTCATAAGCAATTCACTGATGGCACTGGCAAAAAATGGTAATATGGAGCGTCAGGAGAAGCATTTTAAAATGGTACACATGAGCCCTGATAGTGATGTTCATGCAATTAACATGCTACAAAAGTGCATCCCATACTTTGGTTCACGCTGCTAAAACAAAATCCAAGATATGATGCAAAAAAAAAAACGTGGAAAACATTAAACCTGCTTTGATTACATGGGCTGTCTTCTCTGGTATCAAGACAAGGGTTTAATGTTTTAAATGATTCATTTACTGGCACCAGTCACACTGCTAGACGGACTTGATTAAAAACTCAAAATGTCCATCACAATTCAAAGGCTAACAACATTCCTTTCTCTGTTCTTCTGCTTGCCCAGGTGACCAATATGATCCTGAGCATGCAAGAGTGACTCTACAATTTATTTGGACTCCTGTCAGCAACACTTTACAAGGAATCCCCCAAGCATTCCACACAGTGATCTGTCAAGATTTCCCATTATGTTTTGCTGCACCTGAACCATGTGAGGGTTTCTGCGTTGGAGTCTGGGGAAAAGACTGACCCTGTCCCTGAAAAGTGTGTTTCCCCACCCTGTTGTCCCCTTCATCCCCTCCTACCCTGCCCACACATTCCCCATCTCCTCACCTTAAAAAAGGAGACACGCCATGATGTTCAGAGACCAGGTAGGTATCCTCACGGACTGGTTCAAGGGCTGGAACGAGTGCGAACAGACGGTGGCGCTGTTGTCCCTTCTCAAGAGGGTGTCCCGCACCCAGGCTCGCTTTTTACACATATGCCTTGAACACTGGTTGGCGGACTGCACAGAGATTCATATCCTGGAAGCGGAGGCCAACAATGCAGGTAGATGAACATGTATTTCCGTATTGATATACGGTGCAACCTCTGAGATGGATCACAGTATGTTCTGAGATGCTGGTGAACCTCCAGTTGGATTTTGAATGAGAAATACAGTTCCACGCTGGATCGCAGTTCACTTTTTGTGGGTTCAGTGCAGAGCGGAATTTGTTGTTGTTGGGATAATTTCATTCCCAATAAAAAAGTTCAATTGCCTCTTGGAAAGGGCAACTGGCTTAAGTTACAAAACAGCATATCTATGGGAAAGTGTACACTGTTAGCCAATTTAATATAGCCTACTATCGCTTGTCAGAACTGAATTGTAATCGCTCCGCAGGTGGTTAGGATAGAAGGAGAATCGACACCAACTGGTGCACTTTCAATAGCTTCATTGAACAAACAAGAAAATATATCGTAAAAAAAACAAGAAAATCTTTAGCCGACCTGCTGATGGCCTCAACTGACGCTGCCACTCAACACACCTCGTGGTAAATAGTTTAGCCAGTGAGCAGCCAGTCAGCTCCTCTCTCTCTCGCTCTCGCTCGCTCTCTCTCTCTCTTTATGTGTTACATATACACATAATAGTGAGGCTGCAAATAAATTAACAATTAAAAATTGATTAATCTGTTGATTTATTTTGTTGATGAGTCGAATAAAAGAAAGTTTTAATTTCCATTCCTTTATAAGTTTTAATACCCCCCTTTTACCAAAACCAAGACATTATTTCCAATTGACAGCACTGAAAATACACAAACTATCCATCCATCCATTTCCAAAACCGCGTATCATGAACAGGGTCATGGAAAGTTGCTGGAGCCTGTCCCAGCTGATTTCAGGCGGAAGGCAGACTACACCCTGAACTGGTCGACAGTCAGTCATGGGGCACATATTGAGACAATTGAACATTCACACCCACACCGTCACTGAATGGGAACCGAACCCACGCTGCCCGCACACGTCAGTCAGTGTTACCCCTACACCGTCATGGACATACACAAACTAGATAAACAAATAAATTATCATTCAGTTCTTGGTTTATGTACTGTTGAGAACATGACATTCTGAGAATTTGGCCAATGTTAAATAACAAGCTTGCTAAACGATGAATCATGTATCAAAAATATAGTTGTTGATGAAGTGTTGCGCCGCTAATAAATACTAAATATATAGAAAGGGTGAAAAAGTATTTGGTCGCTACTGAGTGGCGTTTGTCTGTTGGTAGGCAAACTGTCACTGGATGAAACGTGTAATAACAATACAGGCAATGTGTGATTCCCGTCCATTATTCGGAGAAAGTGCTAAATAAACGGCAAAGAAAAAAAGCACAGGTCCGAGGTAATCTGAGATCTCGAGGCCAGTTTGGAGGTTCTCCCGTATATCCACATTGTTGTTTGAACATAGTAAAGCAGCAGCACTGATAGAATGTCTTCTGCCCTCAGCCATAGTCAACCAGTGGCACCAGGAGCCCAAGGAGAAAGTGGTGTCCTTGCTTTTGTCCCATCTGCCTTTGCTGCAGCCACGCAACAGCGAGGCCAAATGTGAGTACATGAAGCTGCTGCAGAAGGTGTTGAGTCACACCATTGAGAGTAGCTTGTTTGTGGAGGAGAGCAGACAGTTACTGTCCTACGCGCTCATCCACCCCGCCACTACGCTGGAGGACCGCACGTCCCTGGCTATGTGGCTCAACCACCTGGAGGAGCATCTATCCGGCAGCTACGTGCCGTCCACACGGGCGCCGCCCAGCCCGTACCACCCGCGTCAGGGCTCGGACGAGTGGCACAGCTCGGCCGAGACCCTGGAGCCCGGCCACGCCTGGCACGAAAAGTCCCCCTCATCTAGCACGTCTCCTGCAGGCCAGAACGGGCACATGGCTTTTCCAGGCGGATTGTCCTCTCCTGTAAACAGCAACAGCACAGGTTTATTTTTAGCTCATGCTGTCAAAACTGCAAACAGCACGAGAGTTTTATTTTTTTATGATTATTATTAGTTTATTTTTTTCCCTACTCATTCCCAGGTCTAAGCGGGCAGATGCAGCCCAGCCCCATGAAGAAGTCCGTCATCCCCTCCAGTCCCCAAGCCTGTGGCTCAGAGTGGGTCAGTCAGGATGACACGAGTAGCCGGCAGAACTTCCTGCCGACAGACCAAGCGCCGCTTTCCCCGCAGAGCAGCGTGGCCTCCTCGGGTAGCGAGCAGACAGAAGAGCAGGGCTCAGCACGCAACACCTTCCAAGAGGACGGCAGTGGCATGAAAGGTCAGAGGAGTCTCAATCGTGTGCGGCACTGCAGTGACGTAAGCTGACCTCTCATTTTGTGCCCCGGTGTTTTGTTGCAGATGTCCCCGCATGGTTAAAAAGTCTCCGCCTTCACAAGTATGCATCGCTTTTCTCCCAAATGACCTATGAGGAGATGATGATTCTCACGGAGCATCATCTGGAATCTCAGGTAAGACTGGCGACGGGTAAACAAAGACCTGAGTTAGATTCCAACAAAATCCCCAAATTTGATCAGCCATTAGGTCGTACAATTTGGAAACGGACCAAAATCTTGCAAGACGTAATAAATGTTCTGAGACTTAACAGCAACACGACACTGAAAATGTATTTTTCTTCATTCTATTATAGAGTGTATGTCAACATTAATGGAGCAAATATCAATGGCATCTGATTCCCTGAAAAAAATTGACGCCCATTAAGTATTAAAATAATGACGGTGGTCGACTGGTTTAGCATGTCCATCTCACAATGCACAGGTCATGGGTTCGATTCCGGCCCTGGCCTTCCTGTGAGGAGTTTGCATGTTCTCCCTGTGCCTTTGTGGGTTTTTTTCTGTCTACTCTGGTTTCCTCTCACATTCCAGAAACATGCATGGTAAATTAATGGAGCACTAAATTGTCCCTCGGTGTGATTATGAGTGTGAATGGTTGTTGTCTATGTGTGCTGTCTGGCAACCAGTTCAGGGTGTACCGCACCTAGTGCCCGAAGACAGCTGGGATAGGCTCCAGCACGCCCACGATCCTCATGAGGATTAGTGCATCAGAGAATGAAAGGGTGGATGGATAGTGACGGACCCTGTACTGCACCATCTTGAGCATTTTTGAGCCGTTCACGTAATCACCGTGAAGCTGACGTGTGCTGTAATATGGCACTGTGCATTTTTGACTTGTTTCCTGGTCTGTTTTGTGATAAACTGTTGCTCCTGTTTAGATATGAGATGATAAAAATGTGTGAGCATGTGCACACTGCAAAATTACAGGGCACATTTCTCAAGCTAAAGTGCATGGGCGGATGTATTCCTCCTGTCTCATGAATGGTAAACACTTGTGTCCTTAAACCTAATGATAATACATCACCTTTCAGTGAGGCGTGAAATTAAACAATGTACCCTGCCGGTCACATGTAACGACAGAACCATTGTTGTCCCTGCCCCTTGGCTTCATTGAAACAGATGGTGATTATGTTTTGGTGTGTAGCGACAATATCGATGGCTGAGGCAAGAAATGACAGGTTGCCTTACGCACATCTTGTTATCTCCTTCCTCTTTAGAACGTCACCAAGGGAGCGCGGCATAAAATTGCCTTGAGCATTCAAAAACTGCGTGAGCGGCAGAGTGTTCTCAAGTCTTTGGAAAAGGTAATTTATACTTATTTTTTTAATGAGTTTATATTCTGAGAACAATGAGTAAGTAGTAATTAGTCTTCATGTGACTCGCTTCTGCTGGGTCAGGAAATTCCCCTTCATCTTTTTGGTTGATTGGGTCTTTGTTAGTTATTGGACTCTTGTGGCTGACTAATGTGCTCACCTCACTTGTTTGCAGGATATTTTGGAAGGAGGAAACCTGCGCAATGCTCTGCAAGAGCTGCAGCAGATCATCATCACGCCCATCAAGGCTTACAGCACGTTGACGCAGACCCTGCAAGAGCCAGCCAGCGCACCTCCAGATGCGACAAAGTCGGTGACGGATAAAGACGCGGCCCGCGAGGGATTTCATTCCCACAGCACACCCGCCTGCGATGGAGACTCCTCGGCGACGCCCATCTCGGACGGTGACATTGCCGGACAGTTCACCCGAGTCATGGGAAAAGGTAAGGATCATCTGTTTGCTGTGGTGGTGCGGTGATCTGCATCACTGGAAGCACAATCTCCTCATTACTGGTGAGCTGTTTTGTTTGTCTGTTTGTTTTTTTGTAGTTCTTAGAAATGGACTTGACCATTCAAAAAAAAGAGAGCGCGAGACAGAGAAGATACATTTATGTATCAGAAGGTGTAAATAAATAGGGTGTCACACACAGTGAAATGAAATTAAAACATGCTGATCATCATGAAGAGCCACAGAATGCGTTCCACCAGTTGTCAGTTGTGTGGCATCATCCCACCCTATAGAGAGGAAGCAAAAAACTCATTGCCATGGCAACTCGATGGCTGAATAGAATTACATTGAAATGCTTCCTGTAGTTGAATGTATTATACAATAAGTTATTAATTGTCCTTGTCAACGTTCTGTGCTCATCCCTTATGAACAGGCTCACTTCTGTTGTTTCAGTGTGCACACAGCTGCTCGTGTCCAGGCCAGATGAGGAGAATATCAGCTGCTACCTTCAGCTCATTGAGAAGTGTCTAATACACGAGGTGAGTGTAGGTACCTGATGTATTTTCATCAAATAGTATCCAGGGGTGTGTTTTTGATTCTACTGCAGGTGGGGTGGAGACCTTATCAATGTTAGTGGTAAATTACAGGAGTTAAACACAAAATAAAAAGGACTTGAACGGAAAAAATGCTGCAAGAACAGAGGCCGACAGAACGGAACAAAGACTTCACATAACGGATGATCATCTTTAATGCAGCACAGAGAACTCATTTATAACATCCAATAAGACCCCACTCGTGAAAGACTGTGTGCCTTGGTAGGTGCTGCTTTTTTGGTGGGCAACAGAGTTTAAACTGGCTCAGTTGTTCACTCTGCGCAAGATCTTTGAAATGAGATGCTTACCTAATTCCCTCTATTTAAGAGAGGATTTTTTTTTCTTGAATGGGTGACATGTCGGGTGTCCATCTGGGGTTTGTTGGGGAGGTAGTTATCTATTTTTCAAATACAGTGGAACCACAAGTTAACAGGTTCAATTGGGGGAAATGCTCGTCAGTCAGAGCCAATTGTCCGTTCCAAGGAAGTACTTTTTTTATAGCCTAATAATGCCCAGGAGAGTATAAATTTGTTGTGAATAAATATATTTAAAAAAAAGTTTATCCACTCACTTTATTGGTACTTTGGGGATAGGATAATGGGCTTAGCTCTTTTTGTAAAATTGATCAATTGGGGGATGGCCGTCATTCAAAGAAGTACAGTTCACACCTTGTACATAACCACAACCAAATTGAAGTTAAAATGATTTTTTTAATTCTATTTTATTTATTCTTTTTTTTTCGTCATTCTTTTAAGGCTTTCACAGAAACCCATAAGAAACGACTGGTTTCCTGGAAGCAGCAGGTCCTCAAACTGCTCCGCCTGGTCCCTCGTAAAGCCATGCTGGACATGCCCGTGTACCGACAGAAAGGGTGAGTTGAGCACAACTTTGAATCTTAGCCGCCATTTGATGTGAAGTAGTTTCAGCGGAGTCAAAATGGAGTTCTCCCAGTTTATTTTCCTATGTCTTGTTGTGCGTTCCTGCTCCAGCTGGGCCTACGGGTCCAACTCCCTCCCCACAGCGGGCTCTGTGAGCGGAGGCGTGGGCCGGCGGGGCCAGAGGCAGTTCCAGATAACCCCCCGCGGACTCCAGGCGGGGCGCATCGGTCTGCTGAGTCCCGGCGGAATCGGCGGCGTCTCTCCCCGCCACACTCTCACCAATCCTGCGCTGGCAGGCCAGGGTCGTCAAGTCAGTACAGCGGGGCCAGTGTGCTACCTGTCATTTTGTTCAAATTTTACGATCATGGCAGCATCAGCGACTGAGCCGAATGTCAACCAACTGACGGGACTTATTGGTGATATTCTCCTGATTTTTAGAGCTTGTGGTTCGCCAACCCCGGGGGCAGTAACAGCATGCCAAGTCAAAGTCGCAGCTCTGTGCAGCGGACCCACTCACTTCCTGTCCACACCTCGCCGCAAACCATGCTCATGTTCCAGCAACAAGGTTCTGTATCAACCCTCTCCCATTAGCCCCCATCATTCTGGAGTTATCTCTTCAAATAGTTCATTTAACTTCCGATTGACTTTACTGCCAGTATTGTTCAATACTGTCCAGTACTGGTTTAGAATCCACCTTCTTTTTCGACTACTTAGTTAATCTGTCTTTGCTGCTGCTGTTGACACATGGACAATAAGTCATCTGCTCAAGCCATTGCTGACTAAAGCCAGTGTACCATGGTACACACACACACACACACACACACACACACACACACACACACACACACACACACACACACACACACACACACACACACACACACACACACACACACAAACGTCTTACACCGCCTTTGAATGAATAATGAATAGGCGGGAAGCAGCCTCAAACGTTTTTACAGGTGACATGTCGCAAAAAAGGTCAACGTTGACTTGTTTGGAACACGACAGGGCCATTAGAAGCGAAATCTGCAACGCGGCATCTGGCATACGAGAACGAGTGTGTGCCTTGCGGAATGTGTGCCAGATTGTTAAAAGCCACACACTGCTTGCCTCGCCTTGGTTATTGCGTCTCTGGCACAAAAGGAGCACGGCGGCACTCTGTTACGAAAGTACCACTAATTACCTTTTTTGTTTGGTTGTTTTTTTTTTTGGGGGGGGGTTACTTTAGTTGGTAAAGTTTTGCAGCATGTGTGGCCTCCAATATTAACTGCTAAAACAATACTAGATGGATGAAACATTCATTAACAGCAAGTCTAGTGGAACCTTGAGGATTTGAACATAGTTTCATAGTAGGTAAACTTATGAGCTGTAAGTGGCATAATTGTAATCTTACAACTTCATTCTGGTACACTTAGCCATTTTTTCTTATTACTTTATCCAGCTAAAATAATGCTTTTATTCTTGCAATATTTCAAATGTCAGAAATCAGAAAATTATAACTTTCCTACTACAGTGAAACTCCTCTACCACGAAACCTAGGTGGGCGAAAATACCCACTCTTTATATTCTATGACTTTATACCTGTGGTATTTCTTTTCCCAGTATGGCCCACGCAACTCCTTCACACAACCACATTTGGATGTGATGAAATTTAACGCTCAATTATGACCCAAACCACCGTTTTTTTATTAGATTGCCAAGTTCCAGGCGCTGACCTGGAGATCAACCCTACGCTGGAGTCGCTGTGCCTCAGTATGACGGAACACGCCTTAGGGGGTGAGTGTCCTTCGCTGCGTTCACGCGAGCCTAACACTATCTCCTTCCAAAAAAAAATTAAAATAAAAAGAGTGGTAAAGATAAAATGTATTCACACGTTCTCATCACCACTACAGACGGAACTGACCGGACATCGACAATATGAAAAGAAGACAAAAGAAGAAAAAAAAAATCCTCATCACCCAGCACAAAGAATTACGTACGCTCAAGCAAACCAGGCAAAGCAGAAGCAGTCACTACATAATGACAAAAAAACTGTGTACATGTTGTCTAATATTTTTGTACTTTATTATATACAACTAAGTTTATTATTACACGAAAAAAATGGAATACAGATAATTATTATATTGCAGGACAGGGAGGAAGGTTGATGCCCGTGTCATTTGCAGGACTGTGACATGGCGCAATTATGAGCGAGCGAGCGAGAGAGCGCGAAAAGGATCGGTGCTGTGTTCAAAACGGCCCTTTATGAGTTCTCTTTCTTTTCCTTATTCCCCGCAGACCTACGCTGCCTCGCGCGTGGATCGGCCAGAAGTAAGGCACTTTTATACAAACGGCACTAGACTGTAATTGGCTTAAGAAGACACTTTTGAGACCCCGAAAGGCATCTGAAAAGATTCCCCACCCTTTGTTCAAACAGCGACTAGTCTCCTGACTGTCCACTCCAGATTACTGAGAGGACGAGCATTCAATTTAAGAGCAGGCCTTGCCATTTATTCGAAGCGTTACACCCTAAAGCTCTCCACTAAAGCCAAAGAGAAGGGTTTTTGCAGTCTGTGGCTCACTCGGGAAGGATTCCTGGCGACAGAATGGTTTGACTTTAAAAAGCAGTCTGAGATTGCTCGACTGCACTTTGTTTCCGTTATATCCTTTTTTTGTTTTCCCAACTATCTCCCTACTGGCGTTAATGATGATGAATTATCGCGTTTTACTGAGGAGCGAGGGTCGGCCGAGGGTTGCGCTATTGCACAAGAGCTGATTTGAAACATGCTTCCTTTCCAGGGACCCCAAGTACAGGTTGTCCTCGGTTTTAGGACTGCAGTGGCATAACACTAAATTTCTATTCAAATCCAAACATGCTGTGGTTTGTCACGAACCTGCAGTAAAGCAGTAAGTTGTTGTCCGTAAACACTTCTCAGGCCTATATATAAAACAATCCAATTAAATGAATTCGGTAAGTACAGTGCTAACTGATTAGCGAGACATTCTTACGCAGCAGTACATGCTAGTTCGTAACATCCAAGTGTCAAAATCCGAGGACCTCCTGGATTGCTGTAACATTCACAAGATAAGATAACTTTTATTTGTCCCACACTGGGGAAATTTGCGAGTACTGTACAAAAGCAAAATCGATAGAGTAGAGACATGCCTGAATTCGCGAAACTCTTGACAGTCGGCCCTCCAAATTTGACCCATGGACCCACTTTGGCACCCCGAAGTGCACCCTCTCTCCTGACACGTGACGATTTGATGACTCATGCGTTTCCAAGGTGCTCCAAGATGTCCATATTTTTCCATTAGTGTCTGTGTTTCAGTAAGCCCTCAACATTATCACGTGGTATCAGTGTTGAATTGTTGAAATAATAGTAAAAATAATAAAAATAATAATAATGATGAATAAATAAACAAAAGAAGCGGTCTTCTAACCCCGGCGTCTGTCTTGGAATGTGACGGGGCCGAGGTGCATGTATGCTTGAATATGGTCTCTCTTTTGGCTCACTTTGTTCGGTTGTTTTGTAAGGCAGGGATTATAACTATTTTGTTTTTTATTTTGTGGCGGCACCCATGGTTTAAAAAAAAAAAAATAGATGCTGAAACAGTGGAACCCTCAAAGTTGACTTCCAAGTTATTCTACTTTGAAGTTTTCCTCTCGGAAATAATGTCAAGTAAATGAACGAGTTTCAAAGTCAAACTGTAAACATGATGACATACTATGAACTATTGGTGATCATTCCATGAAATGTTTCCCATAGGTTAAAACAGTTCCCCGGTGTTTTGACTAGGTACCAACCGATACGGATATTTTGAGGCCAATTGCAATGTTTGGCGGAATAAAATTCTGATAACTGATTAATCGTCCGATTAATTTTTAAAATATATAGTGGCTGAAATAACTTCTTTTTTGGGGGGGGGCGACCCTTAATACTTACAACATTGAAAATATGAATTGCACGGAGAACATTCTACTGTTTTAAGGAAGTCCTTTTGTATTTGTTACAGAAATACTTAATAGAAAAAAAAATTTTTTTTGCAGTGTTTGATTGTTGAAATCTTTGTCTTATGTTGAAATGTGTCGACGTTTAAAAAATGTTTTTAAAAATCGGCCGATTTAAGCGCTAATTGCAGCCGATTAATTGGATGGGTAAATACCACAAGAAGCAGGAATGATAGGACACTTCACACACACTTGTCTTGCTAAAATTAGTTCATTTGGCCAAATTGTCCCTGTCTTATAATGCGAGCCAGCCCTCATCTCACCCTGACTGCTGGCCCAATGGCGAGTCCAGATTTTGTGATGATGAGGCAACAATTGGCTGCATACAGAACACTGAATCGAATAAAAGCTAGTACAAACGGCAAAGCCCCCAGCATGGGTTCTCTTTTCCCTCGTGAAGGCAGCACTTCAACACCAAGCTACCATTTTATACTTTTTAGTTACAAATACAGCAGACAGACTGCAAATGAATGCCGCTTGCGTCAAGCGACCACAGGCTGTAGTTTGCTCCCCCCCATCCATTTTCAGAAATAACCAAATCACAAAAGGTTTAAGATTTGTTAAACTCCAATTATGTGTGTACACCCCTCAAAAGTCACAGCATTGTAATATGTCCCCCTTTAGATAATTGTATGTAGTTGCTAGCTATAATCTCAGCGACACATTTTTTTACATTCAATAAATTTCTGTTTGATTCCTGTTTAATGAATTGTCTTTCTCCTATTGTATACTAACCGGCTCGACATCTGACCTAAATTGCAGAGCTAACTCATTTGACAAATTTGAAATTCCTTTTCAAATTTATATGTCATTAATTCCCCTTTGGAGGTTCCACTGTAGACACAAACCTTTTTTTTTTTAACTCCCTTGAGATGGATAACTTATGCTTAATTACTATAATCGCATGTGTGGCAATGCAGCACTGTTGTAGATAAGAGGATGACATGGTGAGCGGGCATCTTGCAACTAAAGTTGTGTCTGTGTGTGTGTTTATAACGCCTGTTTACATCTTTCTAAGATGATGCCCACATCATGTGATGACAAAAAAACAAAAACAAAACCCCCTTTTTTTTTTTGTTTCTGTGGATCCTTAACATGTTGGCTTCATGGTGTCGAGTTATATTGCAGTCATGGGTTTTCTTCAGAGCAGGCTCTTGGATACATCTGACTTAATGAAAAAAAAAATGCATCACACTCGTGCCGGACAAGGACCTCAACAAAGACGGCTGACGTTTTTAGGACTTGTGTTACATGTTGCTCAGATTGTGCTTTTCAGAAGCGAAGCACTGCAGTAGAGTACGGTACAGTGGATGTGCGGAAATAATGATGCTGCAACAGGGCATGACTATGCTTTTCTGAGCCATGCTTGATGAGTAATCTGTAAAACACTACACAACAATACAAGGCCAAGGAGTACTCCATGTTTACATTCCAGTGATGCACTTCCAAGTTGTTTGTTTCTTTTCTAGAACAGGGGTAGGGGGACCTGTGGCCAATTGCTTATGACACACATGTACAAAAAGTTCAGGATGAACCTAAAATGCACTATAAACTTACAGGTCTACTTGATTTGACCTCTAACATTTTGAATATTGGTTTCTAACTGGCTGTACGTTTGCCTATATACTGCAGATGTGCAGGGTGGCTTTTCTTCGGGTACTCCGATGTCCTCCCACATTCCCAAAACATGCATGACAGGTGAATGGAACACTGTAAATTGTCCCTAGGTGTTATTGTTTGTCTATGCACGCCCGATTGACTGGCAACCAGTTCAGCATGTATCCCGCCTACTGCCCAAAGACAGCTGGGATAGGCTCCAACATGCCCGTGACCCTAGTGAGATGATGGATGGATTTATAACTGCTCAGTGTTTTTGTGCTTTATTTATTAGTTTTATTCATCAATCCATTTTCTAAACCACTTATCCTCCTGGGGGTGCTGGAGCCTGTCCCAGCTGTTTTCAGGAAGTAGGCTCGGTGCACGCTGAACTGTTTAATCGCAGGGCACGCATAGATGAACAACCATTCATGCACACACTCACACCAACGGACAATTTAAAGTGTTCAATTAACCTACGGTGCATGTTTTTGGAATGTGGGAGGTAACCGTAGTACCCGGAGAAAACCCACGCCGGCATCGGGAGAACATGCAAACTCCACAGAGGAAGGCTGGAGCCGGAATCAAACCCGGCACCTCTTTACTGTGAGGCGGACTTGCTAACCAGTCGCCCACCATGCCGCCCTTGTTTTCATTTTGTCTAGTTTTGGGGGTGACGTTTGCTGTTCAGCTTCTTGTTGGAGAACAGCAATCTGTCAAAAAGCATTGAAATGACAGACAATGAACAGTTGGCTATTTCAAAAGTTTAGAAGGGGTCGAATGAAGTCATACTGCATTTGAGCTTCATCCTGAAATTTCACCCAAAAGCTGAAAAACTTCAGTTGTGTAAATGATACACATCAGTCGGCACATATTTTTGCATTAAGAAAGGCCTCAGAGGACCACAACGGTTCTCCCATCCCTGCACTAGCGCTCACATTCACATTGAAATCTTCGATGTCCCTGCCAAGCTTGATTGATTAACGCAACCGAGCTGTTGGTTTTGTCTTAACACAATTTATACTTAATTCTAAAGACTTCCCAGACTTTTTCTAATGTTTTTTGAAATACTGTGCATCCCGTGCTTGCTTTTGTTATGTTGTTGTTTTTTTGTTTTTTTTTAAACTGTAAGTCCTATTTGTGAATGGTCTGAAGTGCAGCATCCGTCGGCTCAATGGCAGTCCAAATAAAGAGGTTCAGTTTTTGCAACGGAATCAGTGGTTTGGTCGGTGTCTTTTGACTTGGATCTTCATGCTGTGACTTTGACCTCTAAAGTGTGAAGAATATTTCACTAAGGAGTACTTGCATCCTATTGAAATGTAGTACAACATTGAGGGGAGGAAACATGAGTGAGGTATAGTTGCAGACACGGAAGTTATTTCAACTAGTGAATCACAAAGTTAACAGAAATTCACCTGTTCACTTTATTTTACAATGAGTTTATTCTCATCACATAATGCCTGTAATTTCAAATCAACACACTTGGTAGTAAATATTAAATTTTACTTCACATTTAATTATATGACATTTTACCCAAATTACAATTTTAAGTTTCACAAAATTATTGACGCGCCCGTGTGTGCGTGTGTGTGTGTGTGTGTGTGCTTGCGCGTGCGTTTGTGTATTGTGTATCTCTCTCTCTCTCTCTCTCATTTAGTGCAAGATGCAGGTATTATATATATATATATATATATATATATATATAAGACAGATATAAATATATATAGAAAGATCGATAGATATATAGACAGATATAAATATATATAGATCTATCGGGAATTTCTCCATTGTGAGACAAAGGTTTTCTTTCTATCTATCTATCTATCTATCTATCTATCTATCTATCTATCTATCTATCTTATCTATCTAGAGAGCTGTATATCTAGATCGATATATCTAATGTCGATCTATATATATGTATATATTTGTCGGTTCAGTGTTCGGAACGTTCAGTCCGACTGCGTCATCGAAAGTACTTCCGGGTTGTACGGCATCCGTTTTTTGTAATCTAGCAAGCGACAGCGAACCGCCTTTGGTATCGTTATTAATTTACCCAAGATGAAGCCAAAGTCCTTTCAGTGCTGAATTCGACACAACCAGCAAAGGTATGTTACCATACTTAGCTCAAATGATCCAACTGTATTGTTTTTTTTTTCAGGCGATAAGACTATCTCGTACAGTCACGTAACTTCCTGAACAGAAGGCTAGTCGAGCCTTAGTTTAGATGTGCTTTGTTCTTTTACCTAATGCGTTATTTTTGGCTTCGACCTCTAAAAGTAAGCCTCGTTTGTGTTTATACAGTAACAATTTAATGACTGGTAAAGAACCGTAGTGTTTCAAATGGCTTAACTCACCTACTTCTGAAAGGATTTGTATCTGACTTTCTTGATCTGCACAGTTGACAGTGAAGTTGGGAAAAAGCGGAAACTTTCTGAATTCTGGAAATATTCAAAGTTGGACTTTTACCTTGGGAAGTAGCACATTCATCCATTTCATATACCGCTGATGTAGTTCAGGGTCTAGGGGAGCCAGTTGACCTGGAGACACCAGGTATGCCCAGGATTGTTCGAGAGCCAACAAATAGTACACTTAGGGACAATTTAGTGCTCAACTCACCTAACTTGCATGAGTTTGTCATGTGGGAGGAAGCCGGAGCAGCTGAAGAAAAGCCATGCGGGCATGTGTGATGTCATCTCCACGGCCTGAGCCCAGATCCAAACTCGATACCTCAGAACCGTGTGAGGCAGACGTTCAAAACCACGAATCCACTGTGTGCTCCCCAAAAATGTAATATTTCATTTCTAATTTATTCTGGCTGAACCATCCATCGGTTATCCGAGCCGCTTATCCTCACAAGGGTCGAGGACGTGCTGAGCCCATCTCAGCTGTCTTTGGGTAGGAGGCGGGGTACACCCTGAGCTGGTTGCCAGCCAGTTGCTACTGAACTTTTCATCTAATTTCAAATTGACGTGTGTGTGTGTGTGTGTGTGTGTGTGTGTGTGTGTGTGTGTGTATTTTATGTAATTATGTATTTTATGTAATTATACAGTGTTATTGTGTCATGAAACATTTAAAGTACAAATGATAAAACTACAGAGTTGGCTGCATTATGTTGCATTATGTATTGTAAATTGCAATTACAATATTCAAGGGGTGAAAAAAAAAATTGTTTTTCAGAATTGTTCAGCCCTACAATTTATTCCCATATACAGTATCAATTCCCATACAAAGAGTCCAACTTTGAAAGCTCAGAAGTTTCAACCCTTCCATGAAGATGAGCCAAATTGTCTTCACTATAACCAAATAAAGAACTATTCATATAACTACTAATAGTAATAATCTGATCCATGTCAGACTTTTTTTCTCGTCCTAGTCCACGATGTCGTTACCAGAGGAGTTGGGGGCTCGCAGAAAAGAGCGCAGGATGGGAGCGCAGCCCAAGGTGCGACTGAGTCGGTCGGAGGAGAGACGAGACACTGGCGGCGGCCGCAAAGCTTCTCACAGCAGGCGGAAGGATTTCGCCGCACACCAACCGGCTGCCGAACGGCCCGTCAGCGACGGCTTTGAGTATGGGGACTTTTTGAAAGAGCTGGAGAGCAGGGACCAGGCCGGAGCCAGCTCCTCATTTTCCCAGAGATTGGGCTGCCGATGTCATAATAAGGAAGTCTCAGAAGAGGGGGCATCCGGTCCGGTGTTGGGTGCGGAGTCGTCAGCCGGCGAAGGTAGCAGCAGTCGCACACTCCGGCAAAAAATCCAAGACGCGGTGGGGCAGTGCTTCCCCATGAAGACTCACAGCGCAGCGAGCGTGCCGTCACTCCCTCAGGCGTTGTCCTTGTCAGCAGGCTGCACTGCCTCAAGGCGGAAGATCCACTTGAGCGAGTTGATGCTGGACAGCTGCCCGTTTGCGGCGGGGTCGGAGTTGGCTCAGAAGTGGCATGTCATAAAGCAGCACACGGCAATGGACCCAGCCGCCGGGCTTTCGGCCTTCCCGGCGGACGACGTGGACGACCGACTGAGGGAGCGCCGGCGCATCAGCATCGAGCACGGCGTGGAGCCACCGGCCAACGCCGAGATCCACACCCTGGAGGTGATGTCCCAGGCCGGCCCGGCGTTCCACAGGCGCCGCGGGCCCAAGCTGGCCCATGGCGTGACCGAAGCGGCTGGAGCCGAGCAGAAGCAGCTTCACCTCCAGCGGCAGCACCAGCTCCTTCTGCAGAGCTGTTTGGACACTCTCGACGAGGTGGTGGCGTCCTCTTCCTCCTCTTCCGCCTCTTCTTGTGACCCGGAAGTGGCCGCGAGAGCCACGCCTCCCCACGCCGGCCCGCTTGTTCACACTCAGATCGACTACATCCACTGTTTGGTCCCCGACCTGCTGCAGATCACCAACCTGCCTTGCTACTGGGGCATCATGGACCGCTACGAGGCGGAGGGGCTCCTGGAGGGCA